GTGTGTTTAGAAATGATCTATCTGTGTGTTGTGTGCGTGTGTTTAGAAATGATCTATCTGTGTGTTGTGTGCGTGTGTTTAGAAATGATCTATCTGTGTGTTGTGTGTGTATGTATGTGTTTAGAAATGATCTATCTGTGTGTTGTGTGCGTGTGTTTAGAAATGATCTATCTGTGTGTTGTGTGCGTGTGTTTAGAAATGATCTATCTGTGTGTTGTGTGTGTATGTATGTGTTTAGAAATGATCTATCTCTATGTTGTGTGTTTATAAATGAACTATGTAGCAAAGAAATATGCACATTTTCCTACTGCAGTACTGTCATGCTGCTTCGTGTAATTGCTTGACTAAAGCATGGTTCACACCTGAGCGGCGACTGTTCACACGTTAGCACTGCATCGTGCGTACGAAAACGCCTGTCGCACAAAAAGATGCAGGAGCTATTTTCAGGCAGATGTCATGCGGTTTTGGTTCCAATAGATATTGCTATGCAGGGAGAATGCAAGTTTAAAAAAAGGCACAGTAAAAAAGTTGTATAAAACTGTATAAAACTGAAAACGCCTAGGTGTGAACCTGGCCTTAGACCACTGGCAGTCACCAGTAATACACCATAAGCCTTAAAGTGACACTAAACTCAAGAGTTAAATCTTAAAACGTCATTCAAGTACCTTTTAACTATTAACAAAAATGTCTCTTATTTGTGTATCACTCGGCTGTAGATCCTCAAATCATCTCTGAATTGGTGCTGACACTGTCCTTCCTTCTGGAGGGTGGCTACGTGAGATTGTAGTCCATCACGGGAGAGAGATTGGAGTGGTGGCTACTTTACAACACACACAGGGACCATGGGGGACAAAGTAGTCACCCTCCAGAAGGAAGGACAGTGTCAGCACCAATTCAGAGATGATTGGAGGATCTACAGCTGAGTGATACACAAATAAGATACATTTCTGTTAATAGTTAGGGAACTTGAATGTATTTTTAAAATGTAATTCCTGAGTTTAGTGTCACTTTCAGAAAATGTAGTAGCAAAAAAAGAGAAAAAGATGGGTTTTTTTGAGCACCAAATGACAACTCCAAAAGCGATAGACAGTGAAAAAATGTTTTTAATGTTAATAATTTAAAAGATATGTAATATATTTCATATAAAAAAAAACAACCAGCTAGTCAGATGTCTCCTTGTAAGCTCACTCCATTAATAAACCACCCATTGCAAGAATAAATAACATGACATAATTAGATTATGCCAAAATACATGATAGAATGGTTAATTGATAACATGATTGTACATTGAAAAATGAAGGATGGTTAGCAAAGGAGGAGCGAATTCTTGTCTCAACGTTTCGCGCTCAGAGGCACTTCTTCAGGAGATGGAGAATATCACTTTAGCAGACTGATGTGCGTGTATCCCAGCTGCCCCATCCGGGCAGCACATCCGACGCTTTAAAAGCTTTTACCGCTCATCAGTTTAGTGTTATCTGTGATTGATGGCCCTAAGATGATTGTTCTCACTCCGACGTTCACGACGATATGTAACATGTAAAGCGCAATTGTCATTTTCGCATGCAGAGTAACGGCTCTTTGCATTGAACGGGCTTTTTCTGCCTGGAGACGGCAACCCGCAAATGCGAGTCCGCCGTTCGTCCGTTTTTTTGCAACGGGCGGACGTCAACAGGTTAAAAACATTTTTTTTACTGTCTATCGATTTTGGAGTTGTCATTTTGGTGCTCAAAAAACACCACCTTTTTCTCTTTTTTTTGCTACTAAATTCCTCAGGGGTGTGGCACCTACTACCCAGGTCCAGGCCACAAATACTAATTTAGGTCGTTTCAGAAAATCTAAACCACAATTGGCACTACAGAGGAACAGATAGAGAATTTCATTGGAGTACTGCAAAGTAATGGGCGAAGCAATTTTTTATTTTCTTCCCAACAACCTTGAGGTTTCTGAAACAGAAGCCCAATTTTAGCCTTGGACTTTAATTATGGACTTAAAGTGGACCTTTACCCATATCTTTAAAATAGCAAGCACACCTTTAGAAATGTTTAGTGATGACAATATACAAACACATACTTCTAGATAATAGCCGGCTTTGTATTCTTTGCATACCTTATTTTTCTCTTCTTCCCCAGTCTTCTGGCAGTGACCATGTTTACCAAGGGCAGAAGACTAGCTCTCCTTTTACTTCCTGAAAATCTGGCACATGTGACTACACATGTGACCAGCCTGAGCCTGATGAAGGGGGGCCCTTGAGGCCCCGAAAGCGCTTGTATTGAATGGCAATGTGTCATTAAATGGACTTTTGCTAATTACTTTTACAGTGTGCTGGTGACACAATTTCTTGTTGTAGACATGTGACCATTCACGTCATCTCAGGGGAGGGAAATGCCTTTCCCTGAGATCTCATGAGATTACAGATGAGATTTCCCAGCAATGCTCTGCTGATGTAACCTTCCCAGGATGCAATGCTTTGGCACATTATATCATTTGTGCCAGAAGTGGACCAGGAAGTGAATGAACTCTATTTGTAAGTGTGAATGAAAAACAAATTTGTTTAACTAATTAATGTAATATGATTTTAAGTCAGCATGCAGAGCTGCATGCTGATGTGATTTTTAGTAAAATGGGGTAAAGGTCCACTTTAGCAATATTTTAAAACAATGGTACTTAGTGGAATAATGACAAGGACTCTGATCAGTTCCCATTCTGTGTTAATCATTTGTTTCTTCTCTTGACTGTGCAGTGACTGATGAGGTATACAAGCAGGAAGAGAGCTGGTGTAGTCTATCACAGGCATGTGAATGACAGAGAATCCAGCCAGTGATGTGTCAGGAAAGGTCCAGACCTTCTCAAGATATATGTTTTCAGTCATTCTTTGGCCAAGCAACTTGTTTAAGGACTTGTTCACACGACGTCTGGATTGTGTCCGGACTAGAACCGTGCGCTCCTGCCCCCAAAATGCATCCCAATGTATCCCTATGTGTTTTATGGACTACAGTTCTCACGTGCGCAGTCCGTTCCGGTTCCGGACAGAGAAAATACTGCATGTCACATTTTGTCCGGAAACGCACGAACGTGTCCAAAACACACCGAAAACGCACCGCACTGCAGCTAACATACTGACAGCCCCACTCCCAACAAAAAAAAACAATTTTTTTTTTAACTGGAACGCGTCAAAAACGCACTGCACGCATAGCACCGCGTCTGCAGATCTGCTTCAGATCTGGACCAGAAAATCGTGTGAACAAGCCCTTAAGCTGAATGAAGAGGAAAACTTGATTATTTCTGCAAGCCCAAATTATTATTATTTGCACATCTTAAAACAAAACATAGATATAAAAACACTACGTCATTTTAAAATAATATTTGCTTAGTTTGCTCATTGATGTAGTTAGCGAGATAACACATGAGACTGAGGATTTCTGTATGTAACCACAGGAAAGCATGCATGCCTATGCTGCCAATGTCTACAGCACCGTTGTAGAAGAGCTGATGAGAGCCAAGCATCACAGGTTCATTGCAGTGGAGCAAGAGTTCTTTCGCCTTTGGTGGGACACTGTAGCTGGAGATCTGCAGAGGCAGCAGGTAAGTGTGAATTCTGCTGCATTCGAGGTTCTCACCATGTGTGCAATGGTGTATCTGTATACCTGGAGGCCCAAAGGTAGGCTTCGCATCTGGAACCCACTTCTTACTCAGCATCCCACTCCAAAGACAGCTTAATCCCTGGGCCCCCTCCACCTCACACATTGATATCACATTTATATTGGAAATACAGAGCATGCTAAGTAGATGATGATTCAGAGCTGTGCAGGGAAGTTTTTCAGGCCAGCACAAGGACCATTCCTCTTGCCTCCTCAGGACCTACTCATATGACAGTGCTATGTGCCACTTGACTGTGCCAAGTGTAGGGATGCATGGCAAATTCCCCATGTCCCTTCTGGTATCTGTAACAATATTACATAAGTGCTAGTGTTGGAACACTATCAGGAAGCCCTGTACCTGATTAAATTTGATTTGTTTTTTCCACAAGTGCTACTGTGGGGGTGCTAGAGGGAAGGCATGAGCCCCACTGGTACACCAGTATAACACTCCTTTTGAAAGTTCAGGTGGCATTATTTGTTCATGCAGCTCCCAATATGTCCATAGACCTTGAGCTCCAGGCTTCTATTTTATGGTGGTGTCGAGTTATGGGAAAAATGATCAGTAACTGCTTTTTTGCAATTAACTTTTTTATATTTTACAGGTGCATCAGCTGATTCAAGAGGAAAGGCTAGAATTCATCATTGGAGGCCAAGTCATGCATGATGAAGCTGTCACTGCCATGGATGATCAGATTTTACAGCTAACTGGTATGTACTAATGAACATTAGAAAGTTATGACTCCTCAGAGTGGGGTTTTAAAAATTAAGAGAGTGGTTTGAAAATTAATTGGGTGAGCATAGAAATGTGGTTCCAGCTTCATTGGCTAACCTTTCTCTGTTTTAAAAGCACCAACTGATGACCTGGAGCATTTGTTCCTGGCAGAGAACTGGCAAGTGACCTGGTTGTTTATCTCATAAGCGGGCTAGTGTTGGGGGCTTGAAGCTGCTGTCCGCCCACCTCGAAACATGCATGTTAATGTTAGGATTGTTTTCATAAAACATAGTTATACAGTTTGATCAGTGCTACACCTCTGACCACTATGTTATTGTCTATGGCTAGGTTTACTGGTCTTTATTTCCATACATTTCAACAGTCCTTTAAGTAAACCTGCCATGAGAGAAATACAGGGGACTGTCATTGTTTCTAGCCACTTGGTCGCTATGCTGACCTAATGAATGTAATATATTTTGAGTCAGTGAGCCAGAAATGTGCAGATTTGGAAAGTGAGAGAAAAGGTAGAATTCATTATCTGCTTACTTATTTGGGGTTATTGACTCAAAGTATTGAAGAAATATGGTGAGGGTGACAACAAAGGAGAAAAGAAAAGGCCTGTAATGGTAGACCTCGTGTTTTTTCAGAACAGGCTTCCTTGCATTCCCTAGGACCATCTGAAATTGTGGTGGGTAAGGGGGTGGAGTCTCAGTGTAAAGTCACTGAGTGGACTAGGTTAGGGACATTGAAGGTGAGTTTTGTCTTAGAACGTCATCTGGTAACAATGACATGCAGTGTCCTGATAATCTGCTTATCATTTTTCTTGGTTTAAATATTGTATACTAATCTGTGTTCAGTGTTTTTACAGAGGGACATGGCTTTTTGTATGAAACATTTGGAGTGAGACCTCAGTTTTCCTGGCATGTGGATCCATTTGGGGCTTCAGCCACTTCACCAACACTCTTTTCCTTGGCTGGATTCAATGCCCACCTCATCTCCCGCATTGATTATGATGTTAAAGCTGCTATGCAGAACGCCAAGGTACCCATGAAGACTGGATTCGTTTGTTTCTTGATTTCTGCTATCTGTAGTAGACCCTAAACATTCTCATAATAGCAGTCCGCAATTAATTTGGCCACAGCTTGCAGCAGTTGATCTGCATGTGGGTTAGCTCCAAGGTGCCTCCTAGAATGGTAGGTGCTTGATATTGGTCATGGAGATTTTGTGAAAAATTGTTGTCCAGGGATGTTGTTGTATCAGATTATTATGACCACCCCATCAGTACTTCGTTGGGCCACGAGATGATTTCACGAGATGACTTCGTTGGGCCGCCTCGTGACTCCACGAGATGTTGAAAGGTGATGCGAGGAATCTGACACTGCACTGTTGCCCTTCTGTTGTCTTGTACCAGTCTTGCCACTCTCCGTTGTGCCATAACATTGACTAGTCGCTGACGGCCACAATTTACACGTTCAGGCCCAGATTTTCGGCTGACAGTCCAGTCTTTAAACACTTTAACAACAGCTGCTCTTGAACATTTAACGAATTCTGCTGTTTTGCTGATACTCGCTCCATGGCTCCGAGTGCCAACAATCATCCCACGTTCAAAGGCTGTTAAATCGCGTTGTTTACCCGTATCTTCAGAAACAAATCACTTCTACTGTCGTGGTAAACAACCTGCTTCCCTATTTATAATGGTCTGGCCCTCTAGCAACTTCAGCGTGAAATTATAGCTAATTATAGCTAATTTGCCTACAAACGTCAGGTGGTCATAATAATCTGGCCACTCAGTGTAGATGTGTATATACAGTGTGTGTGTGTGTGTGTGTGTGTATATTATATTTAAAACCAAATTCTTTATATTCTTGAATAAAAGGTTATCTTTGTGAGCACAGTGTTGAACACTTGTCAGCCCCTGCCAATGTCACTTTAGCTTTGGCCTGCATGTAAATCTGCAGAAACAGGTGTATGAAATAGACTGAGGAATTAATATACTAAATATTATCATTGTATGTATTAATTGAGTCTGCTTTATCCTGTGAGTTTGGTCCTTCAAACAGAAGGCTGAGCAGTGTCAGTATATCGTCTTGTAAAAAAATACCCCCTGGTGGTGAACTGTCTGTCTTTTTTCAGCTTCAACCAACTTCATGGCCAATTAGAGCTGTGACCATGTAGAAGTGACATTAGGGGTGACTCTACTCCACGTGTCTTATCATTTATGAAGCTAAATGATATTTTATACTGCAGGTCTCTCCTGCATTTTCTGGGATATGTGCCAGCATTTTCTTTTAAACCCATGTTTTGTCACATAAGGAAAGTGGGTGATTAAACTGCCGTTTGTTGTAAATGCCAAAAAAAAGAAACAACGCGAAAATCGTTGTAAATCCCAAAAATATTTTCTATGTGATTTTTAGTATTTTTAAAGTTTTAATTTTCTTCCTAATTTACAGAAGCTCCAGTTTGTTTGGAGAGGTTCTCATTCCCTATCAGAAAAACAGGAGATATTTACACATGTAATGGACCAGTTCAGTTATTGCACCCCGTCCTATCTGCCATTTTCCAACAGGTAATATTAAGCATAAAGATAATGATTTCTGAGGGCCCATTACTTATATTCCATATTCAAATTCCAAGTGAGTTTCACTTAAAACAGTTTTGAATAACATTAATTGTGTAAGAGCATGACAATGTTATCTAAAGAAGAGACTGAGCATCTATCACTGGGACAGGAACACAGACATAATTAATTCTTAGGAGAATTGGTGGATGGTGCTGGTGTCTCAAGTGTATCCTCTTACTCCACTTAATATTGTATTAATTCTATAGTTGTGGGATGGCTGGACAAAGGGCTGACAGCTCCTACATGCTGAAATGGTTCCATGGTCAGCTCGGGCTGTGATTGGAATGAGTAGAACTACAAGTGAAGTGCCACACCTTTATAGTAGAAAACGGATACAAGTGTACGCGATTTATAAAAGCTAACACATTTTCACTCAACACATTGAGCTTGAAGAATAAAGCATTGTATGTGTCCTCATTGGAGAGCTATTCTGTTGGGACAGCAAAGTAAGAGGAAAATCTCGCCAATGGGGATGCAGGGCATTAAAAAAACATGGTTGAAGTTCTGGCTACAAGGTATTAATCCAACATTATGGCTGAGTACTGTAAACAGTCATAATGTGATATGTTAATCAAAATATCCACTTGAAGCTAATTTTTTTTAACCACCATACTGTAACACTTTAACATAAAGTTACTACACAAGACTGATCAATCACAATTCCTTTTTGTCTTATAAATTTACACTTTAGGTCAGGATTTTATTGGAATGGAGTGGCACTGTTTCCTGATCCACCAAAGGATGGTGTTTATCCCAACATGAGTCTTCCCGTCACCAGTGATAACATTCACCAGTATGCAGAGACCATGGTGAAGAATATTAAAATGCGAGCAGCCTGGTTTAGAAGCAACAATGTTTTATGGCCCTGGGTAAGTACTTTCCAGGTGCCATTGCAGGTCTCACAGTTTCACACTTCTAACTGATTAAAAATGGTTAGTTGTAACTGAATACAACATCTTTATGTACTACTTTAAACTGCACAAAAGTTTATAAAATGAGAAAGGAAGAGGTTCGTGATGGCAACCTTCATATACTCTATGCAAAGTATTTATTGATGCAACATTTTACATGATTGCTTTTTCATGTGTTTTAGTAGTAAAAGAAAAGGTCTGTAGCATAGCATTTATAGGAAGAGTAGACTAGTCTTTACACTCACTACTCATCCCTACTTAACAACTGTTAAGATATCAGCCACGCATTAAGTGCATTGTTTTCATTGAGATTTATAGACTTGTATTGTAAGAAGAAGCAGTAAAGCACACCCAGCAGGAAACATAGCTTGTGTATGCCATGAGCAAAAATGGCAGACCCATGTAAAGTACATATATCATTACAAATGATACATAGAAACACAATGTTTAAAACATTAACATGTACTGATAAAGCATTAGTTTGTTTGATCTCTTTTACATGTTTTTCTATAATAGCATTGATGAAACTACATTCCCTTTTGGCAAGTATTTATTGGTGTAGTGTGTGCTTACTATCTCTTGATAACTGTCAAGGACTCCTATGCTGGAACCCTGTTCAGTTATGTGAAAGGATCTGCAACTGCTTACTATCTCTTGATAACTGCTTACTATCTCTTGATAACTGTCAAGGACTCCTATGCTGGAACCCTGTTCAGTTATGTGAAAGGATCTGCAACTGCACTGAGGGTCTATGTGTTTTCTATGTGTTTTATTATAAATAGAGCAAATTATAAATAATGCAAGAAGATCATAGTAAACACAGAATGACAGCATGATGACTAAACAAATGCATAAAAACAGGTTAAACCGGATTTACAGCACTCAATAAATAGGTTACAAAATCAGACTATATTCAGAATTGATTAAAACTAAATAAATGGCAAGCTTACTAATGGCAAAGAGCAGGAAAAGGCAGGGATAGAACAATGCTGGGCTGTGAAGCAGTCCTCTGTGATAACACAGTGGCCATATCTGGGTACAGGTAAATTACTTAGACACATGGATAATGCTGATGCAGGGATATGAAGTCTCTTGGCACTGTGCATGGGTAGTGAATAATACAGGGTCTAGAAGAGTAGGTAGGCATTTGTTAGTAGTAAGAGTCTACTCTAGACTAGTTTAGAAGAGTAGAAAGCTCTTGCAGACAGACTCCAGGGCACACTGCCACGAAAAGGGGGAACAGTGCCCACCTATCCCAAGGTGCCAACAGATTTTAGTCTACAGCTTTTACATGCTTGATGTGTTTACTAAATAATTATTTTCAGTGTTAACTTGCATGTTTGTGCCTATGGGCTTAAAAGGAATTCACAGGAGCCAGGTGTTTTGGTAAGGAAATCAAACAAACTATCAGTTAGGAAGAATCTTCCCTGCGGATTGATTGTTTTCTAAAGCAAGCAGCAGACAACATGAGAAGTCTTTTCCCTGACCCTAAGGCTCTAGATTTGGCAGAATTATTTTGTGCTTGCAGGCACCCTAACCCATATAGACTTCATTACCGGAACACTTGGATGGAAAAACCATGGTCAAAGCTGAAGGTTATCGCCACACAAAACTAACTAACCATTTAGTTTTTTCATACTTGCTGGCAAATGAAAGTACAAACTGGCTTCTTATAACTCTTCGGGGACTCCAGTGATTAAATATCCCCATCAAAGATCTGATCTTCGCATCCATGAGCACATCCTTTTAACGTTAAAGTGACACTACACTCATGAGTTAAATCTTAAAAATTACACTGTCCTTCCTTCTGGAGGGTGGATACTTTTGCTCCCCATGGTCCCTGTGTGTGTTGTAAAGTAGCCAATATAAATTAATAAACTAAACATGTGATTATAGTTGATCACAGGAGTGAGCTTGGAGCTGCGACTACTTTACAACACACACAGGGACCATGGGGAACAAAAGTAGCCCCCCTCCAGAAGGAAGGACAGTGTCGGCACCAATTCAGAGATGATTTGAGGATCTACAGCCGAGTGGGACACAAATAAGATACATTGTTGTTAATAGTTAAGGTACTTGAATGCATGTTTTAGGATTTAACTCCTGAGTTTAGTGTCACTATAAGTAGTGGTTTCACTCATGCCAACAGATTCTTTGTAATTTTTTTTTCCAGCCTGCTTGTTCGACGGAAAACGTGCGATCGTACAGTAGAAACGGTTGCACGCCTTCCATACACTTTGCAATTATAGTACAATCGCGGGATTTCCCGCGATTCTCATACGATAATAATCGTGCAGTGTATGGGCACCTTAAGTGAAAGGTGAAAACATAAAAAGAACATAAATAGAATAGAATGTACTTTAAAGCTGAGTTCTGGGTAGATGTTACACAAACATGAATGCAGCCCTTTAATAAATCATTGGCCCTGGCTAAGTACCTGAATATGACTTGGTATAAACCTCTTGCAATACCCTATTCAGCAGAACACAATGTGGGAGAGGAAGAAGCAGCACAAGTGGCCAATCAGTTGTGATGCAGTGCTCAAGTGCTTACAAGGAACAAGCTCATAGAAGAAGAGAGTGACAATGAAATGAGTTCACTGTGCTGCTTCTCCTTCAGGCTCCAGTCACAAGCCAATGAATAGAAATACAAATCATTTGGCAGGTAATACAGCTCTCATATATGTATTTCATCTGCGTATTTATGTTTGCCTGGAGTTCAGCTTTAAAAGAAATGTGTGGTGTGTACATTTTCATTTTTCCCTGAGTGTGGCTTTAAATTATTAGATAACTTAAGTACAGAGCTGTGCAATGTTATAAGGAGAGTGATTCTAGGTGGCCATCAGAAAAGTGAAATGGAAACATCTGTACAAAACATATTCTATGCCTCTAAATTGGGCTTGCTTTCCCATTTTCAGGGCTGTGACAAGCAGTTCTACAATTCTTCCATCCAGTTTAATAACATGGATTTGTTACTAGAATACATAAATAAAAAATCAGAGTTTGGAGTGACTGTGCAGTACTCCACATTAGGAGAATACTTCAGTAGTATACACAGCAGAAACCTGACCTGGGAGGTTCGCAAAAATGAAGACTTTCTGCCGTACTCTTCAGGTAAGTTGCATGGATCATGTTATAGATTATAATTATTGTTATAGATTATAATTATTGTTAAGTCATATAGTGCTCTAGCCTTCCATGGTACTGTACAAACTAAGCATTAAATGCCAGGATATGTAATTTTAATAGTTGCAGCACTAAAAATAGAATAAATATTGTAATGAATCTAAAAAAAAAACCAAAACAACAAAGCAGATCTAAAGTGTTCAAATATGTTTGCTAGATGAGATGCATCCAGATAACTACAAGCCTATAGCTACATGTGGACTTGGGAAAATAAGATGAAATGCACACATACACCTAGATAACACACCATGGTGCTAGTTATCTTGAGCTAGAGGCAGGTCCTATAGTGCTATTTAAAATACAGCAATCATAGGAAAAGATAGTCAGTCTAGTCAGAGGCTTCATATGTAAAAATTCATATAGGGCAGCAAATACCGGGGCGTGGGTGAGTATTCCAATCTGATGTGACAGCTTTTTTTGAGGCAGCTCCAAAATACAGTACATGACAAGCCATGACATGGCCCTCGGGGTAACATCTCAAGGTTTGCAGGAGAAGAGAACACCAAAGTATGGTTGACAGTTGAGATAAAGGTTGTCACAGTTATGTAAAAACCTCAGAGGTTCCAAGGATCCGCTTTAGCAGGGCTTAACGATGCTGGAAATGAAGGTCTGGGCAATCTTGGTGTAATATTTGAGAATAGCAAAAACAAAAGTCTGCTTTGGTCGTTAGTTTAGCCTAACACTTTTTATGCAAAGCTTAACTTTTTATTGCTTTAGTCTTTAAAGTACTTCCCACTAACTGCTGAGCAATTGCATCTCTGTAAATTTAAAGAAAGTTTTATATATTCCTCAGTAATACTTTAGAGGACTAACTTGTACATAAAATGTGCCTTGTGATTTTAAAATACTGACATATTAAAGGCCAATTAATCTGGCTTGCAAGGTTGAGCACCATGTCAATGATCATGAACTCTCTTCAGTCTCTCTGCATTTGCCAGCCTAGCTGTCACACTCTATTTGTCATTCTTAGGCTCCAGGGCCTGGGAATTAATCCCTGAATTTGAGACTAGTCACATTAATGTCCAGTTGATTGGGCCTTGTCTTAATACCAATGCTATTGCCAGTTTCAGCCATATGTAGGAGTCCAGCAGAACCAACCTGCCTGCAGTGGAAAGGGGCACCCCAACCTTGCATCCACGCTACTGTGGTATTCACCAAAGTGGTCACTGAATCATGAATATGAAAAGGTTAATAAATCAAATGAAGGAATTCCGTGATTTCACTGATCTTGAATAAAAGGGTCAACTCTTAGCCGGATCGGTATGATTTGGAGTCTCCCTCTGAAATGCCTAACTGCAGACAAAATATGTTTTGCAGATATTTTTTCTCATTTGCTGTACCCATGACACATGTACAAGCAAAGGGGCTGCAGTAGTCGCAGAAACACGAAGGTACAGACAGCCATAAAACCATTGTCAGTCATTCTAACCCTTCTTCACTCAAATAAAAAATGCATTTTTGTTCTAGTCTGTATTCCTGTTGGAAAGATTTCTCATTACATCCCATTTCCTCAATTCAATCCTCCCAGTGACACAAATGGCAGTAATGACCATACCTCTATCCAAAATAAAATAAACATGGGCAAAAAAAAGTTTTGGCTTGGAGTTATAATGTCTTTGATAACTGCACTTCCTAATGAGCTGGTACATTGCTTCCTTTTTATCTTCCACCATTTTTACTATCTGTTCATTTTTATTGTATTTAAACAAAATACACAGAAAGATATCACTGAATAGAGATTGTTCCTTTTCACTCTGTATTGATTCCATTTTATAAATAGATTTTGTTTATGAAACATTTTCCCATGTAGATACATATCAAGCATGGACGGGCTTCTACACCTCCCGCAACATCTTAAAAGGCATAGCACGCAGGGCCAGCTCACTCCTGTATGCGGGGGAATCTGCATTCACTCAGTATCTGTTAAAGCATCCATCTGGAACTGTGTGCAAAATGTGGGCTCTGGAGCAGCTGCGGGCCCTCCGATGGGCTGTCTCAGAGGTAAAACTGATGTTCGTTGTCCAACGAGAACATATTCTAAAAAAAATTCCACCTGACCCATAGAAGAAGTCAGTTAAAACAGTGTGCCTTATTTGCCAGACCGTCTAAAAGAGAAACAGTTAGGAATAAATATTTCTAAGAGTTCAAATCTTTACCCCCAGTGGTTACTATAGTGTAGACTTGTGTCTCTGAGATAGCTGTGTCTTGGCATTTAGTTGCATTCCTTCCCTGTCAAAGCAAATATGTCAGCTCTATCTCTGGAGGCTGACTTGTCTCATGACTGAGCTTACAGTGTAGTTCCACTTTTGCAGTAAAATTTTTGAAAGCCCCCACTGAATGTTTTTCATGTGTTCCTATTCGCACAGTATACCCAAACATGTTTTTTAAATAAAATTGCTTACCTATTAAATGTCTCTTTGGTGAAGGCCTTCATGTAGATTGCAGGCTACTCTGAGAAGTTTGAAAGTGAAATTAGAGGGACAGACTGGGCTTTAACATACAATGGGGGGGTCAGGGGGATTTATAAAAACTGGAGCAGATTTGCACCGCAGTCAATCAGCTTCTCTCTTTCATTTTCAAATCTTACCTGGGCAAACTAAAGAGAGAAGCTGATTGGTTGCATGGGCAACTACCCCAGATTCTGTTTGCTCCAGTTTTGATAAATTCCCCTAAATGTTTTTAAGTCTTAAACCCTTTGTTAGGACAGACAGTGTCCAAAACTAGTTTACAACTGATGATGAAATCTGCCAGCACAGTACAGTCAGGGTTAATAAGAGTAACTATAACTTCCCACAGCCTCCTCCTTAATATTACATTACAGGGGGGGGCACTAGGTATGATTTTTAAACCAGTAAAAATCATTTACAAATGTAGGAAGCAATGTGTCATTTTTATTTCAAGTTATGCAATGTGAATGGGGGAACCTTGCACTTGCTGCTGGGACATTATATAAACAGCGCTTACAGATAAAGGTGACATCCTTGAAAAATAGCCTTTTTCAATTTATTCAACAAAATTATCAGCATTTGTAATGGAATATTTGTGTAAAAACGAAGGACACTCTAGACCTCAGAAGCTAGCACTGACCCTTTAGCAGTAATCACTTGTTGTAAGAATTTTGTATAAGTGCCCACCAGTCTGACATCAACTCCGTAAACTTTCGGCCAATTCTCCATGCAAAACTCCATCAGTTGCAAGATGTTTGTGGGTTTCCTTGCATGAACTGTCTATTTCAGATACCCCCACAACATTTCAATGGGATTAAAATGAGGGCTTTGACTAGGCCAGTCCATAACCCTCGGTTTCTTCTTTTTGAGCCATTTCTTGGTGGATTTACTAGAGTGCTTTGGATCTTTACAATTATCTGCAGATTTTCTGTGGTCAGATGGAAAAAGTGCAACAGATTGGCCCAGGTTGGGATTACTCCATCCACACAGTTAAGTGTAGATGGAGGAATCTGTTGCACCTTTTCCATCCGGCCACAGAAAATCTGCAGATAATTGTAAGGTGTATGGCCAGCTTTAGATTGTCATCAAGCACAATTTTATGTGATGCAAAATTCATAGCTGATTTAATGACTGCAAGCTTCCCCTGAAGCAGCAAAACAACCCCAAACCAGGACATTTCTATCGCTGTGTTTCACAGTTTGTATGAGGTTCTTCTCCTGAAATGCTGTCTTTGGTTTGTGCCAAACATGACTACTGTTACTGTGGCCAAACAACTCTATCTTTAATTATCAGTTTACAGTGCATTGTTCCAGAAGGCCCTATTGTCTAAATGTTCAATGCCAAACTGTAGTCTTGCTCTAAATTTCTTTTTGGACAGCAAAGGCTGTTTTCTTACACAACTCCCATGCAGGGTAAATTGTTGCATTCTCTTTCTGATTTTAGGAGCATGTACTTTTGCCTGCAACTGTTTTGCGAAAGTTATCAGTGGATCCCGCAATTCAATTTTGGGGGTCTTTAAGATTTTCTTAGCATCAAATGGTCAGCTTGTGGGCTGAATTTGCTGAGCCAGCCAATCGTGAGCCATTTAGCAGTCGTTTGAAATTTAAGCCAAGTGGAATGATTGATTTCAAACAATATGGCAATCTTTTTAGATCATTTTTCAAATCCACAGACATCCAAGACCTTCTTTCTGAGGACCTTAGAGAACTATTGCATGAATTTCAGTGGAAAGTAGTGTTGGGAAAGGGATTTTTCAGTTCTAGCCTGACTGTTCCCCTGTGCATATAAAGACATGGCTTGAGTTTGATGTGGAGGAACTTGAGTGGTCTGCACAAAGCCCTGACCTCAACCCTAGCGAATATGTTTGGGATGAGAATCGCCTTCTCAGGAGAGAACTGCATATTAATGTCCATGATTTTGTAATAGGATGTCCAACAAGCTGATAGAGGTGACAATGCATTACATATACTGTATTTTTAAGTGCTTACTAGGTATTTAAAAAGATCCAGTCATTTCAACTGCCTGATCATTGTTACAACTGGCCTTGATTTTCTTTGTAGGTTCAGCATCATGATGGCATTACAGGGACCGAGTCACCAAAGGTCAGGGATATGTATATGGCAAACCTGTTCCAAGGAATGCTAGGAGTTCGAAAACTGATGGAAGCTATCACTCTAGACCGGTTCAGCTTTGAGGATGATGATCAGTCAAAAGGTAGTGTGTTTAGATTTTTTTTTCGACAGATATTACAAATTTTAGGTCACCAAATTCTGTGGCTAACAGACTATTTTGGGATGAAGTAAAACTTGTTAATTTGCTGATCAATTGTTGCTGTGCAGGGTAATTGTCTCTAAAGATCATTGTTGACCTCTCAAAGTACTAGATCTCTGGTTGTCATGTTGATCCAGTGCTTTCTGTTTTGTCCCTGACAGACCCTGTTCTTGAGCATGCAGATCGGCAGTTCTGACTTCACTCTGACATTTCTGTTGTTCATGCTTTTATCTAGATCAATGATCCAAAGTGTAGAAGACAGCCAGCTAACTAGCATTTTCAGAAGAAGGTCAACAATGTTAGCCTCATTTCCCTTTACACCCATATTATATTGTGTCTTAGTGCAAAAAAAGGCTGGAGTATTCAAAATGTTTGTGTTTTCTAAAGAACCGGCATCAGAACCCACAATTCCATGTCATGCACCAATGAGCTGTTATAAACGTGAAACAGAGGTGGCCTTGCGTATCTTTTGGACCCCATACTAGTTAAAGCATACTAAACTCAAACACAAAAAATAATATATTGCTTACCAGTGTTGTGGCAGCATTAGTTTTCTTTTTTTTAGTTTTTTTTCTCATTATCACCTGGTGATCCTGTTATCAACACGCTCCCTGTCCTAAGATGATGACGAGCACTCCTCCACTGTATCTTTTGAGGCAGCCATTTTTGTGACAAGGACATTGCATTTATGGCAAAATGAACAGGTATATTCTGTACAAGCCAAAAATGTTCATAGCTTCGAAAATGAAAACAAATGTGTTCTTGGGTATGCTTTAAATCTCAAGTGTTGGTAACTCTATACTATACAAACAATATTCATTAAAGCCATGCTAAAGCCCCTGCCTTTTCTAATAGTGAAGTTATTGAAGGATCTTTAGCTAGCGATGTGAGATGATCTGCATACAAGACTGTACCCCGCTTCTGTAAATAAATTATCCTAACTGATGGGGAATAGATTATCCTTTTTTTTCTTTTTAAAGTATGTTTAAAGGAATGAGGACAGAAACCTTTGCTGGTTTGGTTTCAAAGATTCAGGCTCCAGGGTGGTCAACCTAATACAGGCTCCTCTACTTAGTGAATCACTGACCTAGAACAGATGCACAATGGAGATTTAACCTAGATGTACATGGTTAGAATTTCGTGCCAACTTCCACACCAAAAATCTTGTCAGAACATTTGATAACATTTGACAAATATTTTAAATTTTGTTTTGATTTTAACATTCGATTTTGGAATGAATTGACTTTCCAGAAGAAAAATCACATTCACTCTTAGAATTTCATTCAATGTTTTTCATCAGTAGGGTCGGAAACAATCAATTGGACCCCATTTATTAGAAAATCGAACGAACGTTCTGAAAGCGACTGCTTAATAAAATTAAGTTCTAACTATGTATACCCAGGTTTAGACATTCTAGCTTTATGGACTGTTTGTTTATTTTAACACAATGGCTCACTACCCAGATAGCAAGCAATTGAGCTGCAAGTTTGAAAATGACTTGCTAAACTATTGCAGACTTGCCAAGCTTCACAATTTTGTTGCACAATTACAGCGAGTCTGCATTGCAAATCTCCAGACCAGCGAGCTTGCATAGCTCTTGCTAAGACCTGCAGGACTCTTGCTGTAGACTTGCCACGCAAATTTGCCACAAATTCAAAAAGTGTCAACTAGAACTTGTGCTGCAAGTGTTCTGCAAGTCTACAACTTGCCAGGAATGTGTGCAGCAAGTTAACAAGAATTACAATTTAACCCAGCCACAAGTTTGTGGCAAGTTATCCTTGCTATCTGAGTAGTTGGTAAAGACAAGAGCAACCTTTTGATATTTAACTATGGAATAGCCCATGTCTCTGTTGACATAGGTTCACGCCACATAGAAAAGTGTAATTATCAATATATGTGTGAGGATCAGACTACATATATTCTATGTACAACACAAAAAATTACATTCATATATGTGTGAGGATCAGACTACATACATTCTATGTGACAACACAAAAATAATTGAAAGTGCTCAATATCACACACAGGAATTTCCAGCATTTACTTAATTTACAGTATTAATATTTGGGCAGATACAGATTCATCTACTAGCACAGGCAGACTTGGCCCTCCAGCTGTTGTGGAACTACAAGTCCCATGATTCATTGCAAGACTGAAAGCCCACAGGTATGACTCCCAGAGACAAAGGCCTGATGGGATTGCTAAGGTTGCCTACCTCTGTGCTAGCACATTATGTGGAGCACATGGCAAAACTCATGGAAGCTTGATGAGCATTTACAAGCTTTCTGCACAGTAGTATTTTTATGGTAATCCAGCCTGGGATGCCATTGCTTACCATTCAGCTGCTTTCACAGTATGTCAGGGCAGTCTGTGAAGACAGGGGATCCTAAGTGCTGGGCACAATAAGCTTCATAGTTTATTTTCTTCTTTTATTTTTCAGGTCTAATGAATATTACAGTCTACAATCCACTAGCATGGGATATAACCACATATGTCCATATGCCAATGAACATTTGGGTCACTGATGTGTACGATGAGATGGGACAAGCCATTCCAGCACAGGTATGTGTTGGAATGCCCACTGCACACTGTACTAAAAGTCTATGTAAAACAAAGATTCAAGATAGTAAATGCATAGTAATACACATTTAAAGAATGTCTGGCACAAATGTTATTAGCCCTTGCAGTGCGGCTGCTCCCACACACAGCGTGCTGGTTCTGAGGATCGGGTGAGTAGGTAAAAACGAGCACTTAAATCTTGCAGTACAGGCTCCACTGCAAGGTTAATACAATTTCTGCCTGAAGTTCTTCTTTAAATACATGGGGGAATTTATCAAAACTGGAGCAGACCAAATCTGGAGCAGATTTGCATTGCAACCAATCAGCTTCTTTCATTTTCAAATCCCAACTGAGCAAACTGAAGAGAGAAGCTGATTGGTTGCCATTAGCCATTCGGGCTTTTCCCCATAGTTCTCCTTAGGGTAATGGGAGGACACAAACTAGTGTCCTCCCGTCACCCTAGGCTCAGTATACCGCGAGCTACAGATACTATACTGAGACGCCGCAGTATACAGCGAGCCGCTGAGACGCCGCAGTATACCGCGAGCTGCTGAGACGCTGAAGCGGATCCCGACAATTATGCCGGGATCCACCCAGCTGCGTGACTGACAGCTGGCTCTGCCTATCTAGAGGCAGAGCCAGCTGTAACCGCCCCCTCCCCCGTCCGTTCCGCCAGTCAGCGCTGGCGGATCGGGGAGGGGGGAATCTAGGATCGAGAGGTGAGCGAACGCCGGTATGTGTTCGCTCACCTCCCGATCTACTGAGCCGACTTGTGACAGTCTCATTGTCACTGGTCGGCTAGAACTATGAGGTGAGTGAAAAACACTCATGTCATAGTTCTCCTTTAACCTAAACGCAAAAAGTGAAGATTTGTTTTGTTACAGGCAACATTTCGAAATGTCAATGGTTAAGCAGTATCCTGAAAAATGTACCTTTTGTTCAGGGTGCCTAGGCATTCCTGTGCCTGCAGCCTCATAGCTGTATATCTGCAGGGTTAGATCTAAGGCACTGCTGCCCCAAACTCTAGTCTTAGGTGATCTGGAGTGAGATTTGGTAATGTCACACTGCTGTCCTGCTCACTGTTCTCCTTGCTGAAGGCTTTGACTTGAGGAAGCGTAGCCCTGCCTCTACCAAGATGGCCACCACACAGAGGTACAGAGCAGAACAAGGCATGTTAAGTCACTAGTGGGGGAAGATCAGCTGCAGAGAGACCACAGGCAATACTGGTGATTAGTCCTTTGTCCTCTATCTGCCTTTTGTTTTTTAGGAACAGCTTCCAGAGTTTAGTCCATTGTTTATTTTTTAATGAAAAATCCTGCCTATACACAATCCTGCCTATACACATCCATAATGCAACAATCATTCTATATTACCAATTTTTCAATTAAAATTGTTCAGAAACCATTTAGAAAGTCAGAGGTGTGATCGCTGAAAAGGAACCATTGGTACTGGCAGAATATCCTATCATGTTCACCAAATCGATGAGTTTCTTTGTTGAATCAAAGAAATGATTTGGGCAAAAGGCATTTAAAACAACTAAATCCGCTGATTATTTACTGTTAGGCCTCATTCATACTGCTAAGATCAGTGCGGCATGCTGATTGTACTGATTGTACGCCGCAGCCTGTCCTTCTTTATGGGAGTACACGCCCTACGCTCACCCGAGCTGCACATCGGTCTGTACTCGGACACAGACAGGATGTATCCTGCCTGCGTCCGAGCACGGACACCCGCACCTACGCGGATGTGCAGTTCGGGTGAGTGTATGGCCGCGTACTCCCATAGAGAAGAACAGGCTGCTTCGTACAATCACACGCAGCACCTGTCCTTCCTGGGTGCGGCCCGACACAGCCGTGCATGCCGCACGGATCTGTACAGGCCGGCGCTTAGCAGTGTGAATGAGGCCTTACATGTCTGGCAGAATTAGTCCTTGATTTATCCTAATGTATTTCCTTTTTTCATGTCCTATCATACTGCAGATCCACAACTCCAGTGATCCAGGTCACACTTTCGATCTGTATCTCCTTGTTGTCCTGCCTGGTCTCAGCTATGGGAGCTACTCTTTAAAGATTGGGAAGGAAGACTCCAGCCAGGGGACGGTTACTGTGGGCAGATCAGTGAACTTTGGCAGACAGTCCTCAAGTGCCAAAGAAAATGGCGGAAAGACGAAGATTTCAGTAATGAATGACTGCAACACACTCTGGATTAACAAAAACACAAACCTGCTTGATAGTATAACAGACAGGTAAGATGTCTCGCTTTATACGAAGCACAGTATGATAGAAGACCTGTATCAGGACCCTGTTGCAATGGTCTTCACTGTGCTGCTCCACCCGGAACCATGCACAGGAAATAGAGGGCACTTTCAGGAGAAAACCTGCGTGGCTCTGAATGAAGCAACAAAGTGACGATAACTGGAGCAAGGTTCAAGGTAAAAAAAAAAAGTATTTAGGGAAATTGTAAAAAAAAAAGGTACAGTTGTCCCTAAAGTATTTAACGTGTCACGTTTTTAAATGTTTGCTGTTCCATATTTTTGTTATTGCATATAGGGTTTGTGAATTTTCAACAAGAGGAAGCTTTGTATCTGGCCCAGCCTAACTTATTCCCTCTACTAAACAACTATTGCAATCAGCCTCATAGAGCGTTCATGGCCCCATTCACAATGAGCTACATCAAAAAAATTGTTTTTTCAGCGCTGATTTGAGCTGAGCGACATTGAACTACAGTGCACATTTTGTCGCGCTATAGAGCGCTTCTTTTGGCAGTCTATCAAAGCCTATTGGGGCCAAATCACACAAAGTTAGCGGAAAAATAGGTCATGTTCGAGCGACAAGCTTGAGCTACAAGCTACAGGCGACATTGAGCTGTGAGGTGTGAACAGTTCCATTGAAATGCATTGGACGTGCTACATTGAGCTTCATGTTTGAGCGCTTCTTGATAGGAAATCGCGCTACAAATGGTTCAGTGTGAATGGGGTCTTAAGTGATACGTTTGACTCATAGGGGTCTAGTTAAAAACAGATGAAGGGACCTGCAAATATCTTTGAACATTCATTTACCGGAAATAAACACAAAAACGAACGTTCTTCATATATTTTCTATGGAGGTTGAATATTTTGCCATGTATTACTGCATTGTGGCCACTAGATGGAGCATGTTTGCAGGCTGAATATATTTTCATGTAATATTGCACTATTATTATTATTACATAGTATTTATATAGCGCCAACAGTTTGCGCAGCGCTTTACAATGTAAGGAAGACAGTACAATACAATTCAAGACAGGATGGTAAATGGCCACTAGATGAAGCTGAGGAGCAAAGGAAATCCCTATATCCCTGTAAACTTGCATTGTAACAAAGGGCAGTATTGCACAATTTAAAATATACTGTTGGAATAAGTTCTAACATTTTTTCTGAGTTGTCCCAATTTCACATTTATTTTGTACCACTTCTTGGTGAGAACTTTGTGAGAAATATGTTTTTTTTAGTTTGGGAAACGATGCACTCGCATAACCATTTGCTTCTATAGCAGCTCATTAAAGTGAAGCAGCCACTTCACTTCCTTCCTGACTACCATCGGAGCAACCATAACCTGACCAAACCAAACCTCTTTTGTGATTGGATAGTAGGTCAGTAGACAGATGATCTGCAAATTATGACTCACACAGTAAAAGCGGTTTTGTTTTTTGGGTGCAGAAAGAGATGTGTGCGATAATTTTTTATTTCTAATTATTGCTCTTTTCTCATTCTGTTTATAAGCAAGAGGGATTACAACAAATAAAAAATAAGAAAAAATCTGAAGTTGAAAAACACAAATGAGACAAAGAAAGGGCTAAAAAAAAAACCAGGGAGAATGGTCATTGAAGCTCAGTTTAAGTCAAACAAATAAATATGTCAATATACAAAAAAAGAAATAAATCAGTATGCAAATAAATCAATAAATCAGCCTCCATTTTTATAGTGTGACCTCTACTTTCCCGTTATGGCTATTGCACAGTGTGTTTAAATATGACTGTGCACTCCAGTACATCCAGTTTGATCATGCCATTCAGTGCACTGGTCAGACATGTCCCCTCTCTTTCTCCTCAGTATAAATCTGTGTGATGAAGCCTGGGAAGAGGTGCAGAACAGCTCTGCCAGCATAGAGCACTGGAGTTGGAGGGGTCAAAATGCATTTCCACTAAGAGAAAAGTGTATTTTCAAGTGGATCACATTTTTTTGCTTTTACTTACAAACTCTTACTGTTTTCCACTTCCTGGTTGAGTGAGGCAATGGAGATGTACCCCTGGCCTCACAGATGCATCCTGGGAAGGATACAACACCAAGAAAGGCAGTTCATGCCAGTGATTGAGGCAAGAGATAATAAAAAAAATGCTGAAAATGTTTTTTTTTTTTTTTAGCCTCTATCTCCCAAGTCACCCCATCATGGTTCTATGTATATTATGTGTGTGCCTTCTTCAACCCTCAAAAATGTACACCATACAGATGTACACATCTTTGTGAAATTGTCATTTCTAGCCTGCTTATTACAAGATGCACTGGAAATTGTAGATTCACAAAGGTTGTAAAGAATCAAATGGGCTTCATGAATGTGGCAAATGTTCAGATTGGTGTTAAAACTATTAATTAAAGTGTGTGGGGAGGGGGGTACAGGAGCTTAAAGGAGAACTATGAGGTGAGTGAAAATCACTCATCCTCATAGTTCGAACCGACATGTGACAATGAAACTGTCACACGTCGTCTCAATAGATCGGGAAGTGAGCGAACACATACCGTCGCTCGCTCACTTCTCGATCATGTCCCTGCAGATCGCCGTGACTGTCAGCGCTGACTGGAGGAACGGACGGGGGAGAGGGCAGGCACAGCTGGCTGTGCCTCTAGATAGGCAGAGCCAACTGTCACTCACGCAGCTGGGTGTATCTTGGCAGTAATGTTGGGACCTGTCCCGGCTGCGGCGTCTCATTATACCGCCAGCTGTATTTTGCGATATACTGAGCTTTGGGTGACGGGAGGACGCTAGTTTATGTCCTCCCGTGACCCTTAAGAGGACTATAGGGAAAAACACTTACCCCATAGTTCTCTTTTAGTTTCACATTTGTTGTTGCCAGTCCCCTAATTTCAACAAAAATATTCCCATAAGATTATATGTACATTTAACATATTTTATGAATGTTATGTACCTGTAAAAGCCTCCCCTGTGGATAAATCTAAAAGGCCTGAGACTTCTGCTGGGTGCTGCCATCTCGGATGCAATGGCTGTGCTCTATAGTATTCCCCTTAGCTCCACCTCACTGTGCCAGCTACATAAAAGGTTATGTAGGGAGGTGAAGGGAGGGGGTGGAGGAGCTGGAACAGCACAGATTGTAGATACTCCAAGATGAGGAAAGGGCTATGAAAGTAAGCATTTGAAATATATTGGTGACAGGGCCTCTTTAAGGACAATGGTTGTTAGATTGTAGATGACCTCTGGCTTCCTGGCACTCCAGCTAAAGTGTAAGGCTCAGACAGAGCAAGTAAAGGTAAGCTAGGGAAAATGATAAAGTAAGCCTGTACAGTTATATATTTGTCTATTCACCAGAAAAGCAACCATTTTAAAGTTAAATGCATGTGCCCCTTCCCTCTACACCCCCTGCCAAGGACACACCACTAGACATGTTGTTTTTTGATCTTTCTGAAACTACAAATTCCATCCTGCTTGGACAGCATATGACAGGGCAGACTGGAAATGAGCAAAGGCAGCAAAGAATCGAATCAGAAGTCAGATTAATAGTAATAAAAGGTAATTAAAGGTAATAAGAGGAAAATATAAATCTTTTTTTGGTAAGCTTGTACAGTTATAATAACTCAAGAGTATTCTGATGCCTTCAAATGCTGACTTTTCCTCAAAGGTTCCCTTTTGCTTGTTGGACATTTGTTGAGTGCACAGTTTGGCAGTATTTATTGCTGCAAGGCTTTTAGTTAAATTGTCCGTGTCCTCTTAGTCACAACAATTTCCTGCCAATTGGTTTGTGTGAGATTATGTGGTGGTGAAGGTCAGAAGAAGGGCTGTTTGAATATGTGTCAGTAAGATGCTTTGGGGCTTTTTATATAGCCTTCATATACCTTCTAGAGCTATATCGTGCATAGTTACTGGTGGTGAACAGCTATTATTTGGTCTCTTCTTTGTAGACTTTCCCACTGCACCTTCACATTTTATGCTTGTATTATTTGTTCTGGCGCTATAACTTTTCCCTTGGTAATGTTATAACATCTTAATATCCTTTTTCCATATCTGGCCCATGCAGCAGACAAGGGGCTTCAGTAGTTTACGATGCACTGCGCAGTTTTAAAAAATATTGTTTAATGCAAATTCCATACCTGGCTTTTGAACCAGGAAGCGCACTTGCGTCTTTTATGCTGGGGGTGAGCGTCCGACGTCTGCTGTGTCCTGGAAATAAGCCAGGACATAGGAATGTAGACATTGGCAGTATTTTGGCCAGGCTTCATGTGTGACAGAAAAGGTTTACAGGTATGACATTTGCATTAAACAATATTTTTATCAAATAGCACAGTGCGTTCAAAATACTGGGCTTTTTGTCTGCATGGGAAAGGTTAACTTAGTCTTTAAAGTCAGAACATATACAGTGGTATCTACTGGCCTGTGTGTGTATAATGGTATGTAGTGGGTGAAATCGTACCTGCATTAGAAATTAGGGTATTCAACATAATTCCCCAAAAGAGGACATTTTATAATATGTTGCATTTGCAGGGAGAGGAATTACACAATGCAAATGACCCAAGAGTTTCTCGAATACCATGCCAATGGAGACACTGATGCCGGGCCTATATCTGACAACTACATGTTCACTCCAAATGGATCAGCCCTTCCAGTGGCAAAGTCTGTAGGACTGGAAGTTGTAACAGGGAAATTGGTCACTGAAATCAGACAGTATTTCTACAGGTAATGCAGCAAACGTATCACATTATTAATCATATTTTATTTACTGTTAGCTCGTTCGGTTCCAATACCTATATGATTTTGATTTTATCATACTGTATAAAGGATATAGAGCATACATCATATACAGCATTTTACAGAGTGCTAGAACTATTTATATCACATGATATACAAATGTAATCTTCAAAAAATGTATTCTCCAACAATATACAGCATTTTTCACTTGATGATATACAGCAGGGCTCATCTATGAAACTGAAGAGTGATCTGCACATGGGAGCCAGTCAAATTCTTCCTTTCAAAGACAAATTAATTAATGGGCTGGGTTAACATCTATGGGAATGGAGCAGATATCTACTGCCAATCCACTAGACCTGTCATCCTTTAGTATGTTAAATTAAAGGAAAACTTACCATCCAAGTCCACTGCATTTAAGTCCCTGCAGTAGCAGGGCACCCAGAAAGCTGCTTCAGATTTTGTGGGGGCCATTACTTGGTTCTCTGATTTTCAACAAATACAATTTTAAAAATAATGTTTTATTTGTCATTTAATTAAAAAAAGGGAGATGTTTTTATCTTCCAGACACAGTCTAAGTGAATCTCATAGTGATTCAGTTTATTATCTAAAGATGGGATTCTGAGAGTTTTCTTGGTGACTGTGGCAACAACAACTCCTTTTTTCCGGTTTTCTTTCCTCAGGTTTTTTATGAATAGGTCTTAGGTGTTGTTTGAGTAGCTGCCTTTTTCTTAAAGAATAGATTTAATTGGTGTTCAACATAATACACAAATGTGAGGCAAAGACATTACAAATAACAAGTAGGTAACCATCCACCAAGAGAATGACTGGTAAGGGGTATGGATCAGGTCCCACAATCCTGTACAGGGGTGTCCCTACACGTCTCGCTGCCTGATGCCAGGAGGAGGGAGCTGTTCTAGGGGTGCACATTACCTGGGGGGGTGGTGTGGTAAAGGAGAGTGATGGTGGTGCATGTTATGGGGATTGGTGCTGCTGGTGGTACCTCTGGGTGCAGCTCTACCGTGCATGCCACCCATCTCACTGACATCACTGGTTGCTAGGAGCTGGGTGGCATGCCAGCCAAAGCATCCAATTTAGCTCCTGGGAACCAGTTATGACAGTAAGCTGGGTGGGACACCAACCAGAATGTTCCAGGTTGATAAAAGCTCTTAGCAAACTGGGACGCTCTGGCCGAAAAGGGGGCAACAGGCACACCTGCCAACCCCTCCACATGACCCAATGAGATGTCACCTGAGGAAACTGCCTCAGGCTGTCTCATTATAGGAACGGCCCTGATCCTGTGGAAAAATGGTGGTGGCGCTTGCAGCTTGCACCACTGTGTTTGGAGGGAAAAGTACCGGGGAAAGCCAGACAAAACAGTGGTGGCGGGGGGGGGGGGGACGAGTGATGGGCGGCAAAAGGAAAGGATGGGTGAGAGTCCAGCTGGGTAAGTCTCGCAACAGAGTGAGCTAGTATCAAGTCAAAAATAAGGATTGTAGTTAAAAAGAATTAGAAAATTAATTCCTTATGTTCCTTAGATTCCTTTTTGATCTTCTTTTTTTATTCACTACTTTATTTGAATAAGCCAAAATATAGAGATGCTTGAGCATTTGTGCCATTTTGTGGAGATGGAGCAAGACATTGTGCTATGACCTTGATGACATCTGTGAGGTAACATTCCTCATACTGCACAGGTTTACCTCTATACTTTCCCCTAACTTGTGTTCTGTTTTATCGCCTTCAGCGATGTTCTTGCAGAAAGCTACATCTATAAAATCATCTCCAGACTCTACAACGTCCCTGATGGATATGATAAATCTCTGTTGTGCCGTCTTATCGAACAGCAGTACAGAGTTGGGCCTTTGGAGCTAAACCGGGAAGCAGTAATCAGAACAGAAACCAGTCTACAGACCAACAAGAGGATCTATACTGATAACAACGGATACCAAATGCAAATAAGGGATTTCAAAACCTATGACAGCAACACAGTGGCCAGGGTATAACAAAAGCACATTGTTTCTTAGCTTTGTATTACTGTATATGATTGCATGCAGAAAGGAGTAAAAAACAGAAGGCAAAATAGGAAAAAAAACATGGGATTTCAGGGCCATTTCAACAGTGGTGGTGGCCCAATATTATAGAGCCATTTATTTCAAGTTGCATACAGTTTTTTCAGACTTGTCCCCCGTCAACACAAAAATATATGATTATTATATGTGATCATTATTTGTGCAGGATCTGACCCAGGGACGTGCGTTTAGGGGAGGCAGAGCCTCACCTAGTATTATGAAGAAAAAAGGTGTCAGCTTCCCCATTCAGATCGGCTTGTAACAGGTTACACAGCAGGGAAAGCCTCCCCGGTGTGTAACCTGTTATGGACGGAACACTGCCTGTTAATTACAGGCAGCGCTGCATCCGGCTTTTTAGGTTACACAGCAGCTGGCTTCCCCACTGCTTGTGTAACCTAACTTGGTGAGGCAAGAGCTGGCACAGTCTCTACACTGTATTAGGGGCATGAGCTCTGTGGATGGCTTGGACCAATGGCAAAGCGCCATTGGTCCAAGCGGTCCAATTAAAAAAAAAAAAGAAAAAAAAAGCAAAACAGTGAGGACATCGATTTCAATGCCTCACCAGTGACGAGCAAGTGATGGACAGGGAGGCTCCTCCCTGTCTCATCCCTTCCTCCTCCCCACACAGCTTGGTTTCCGAGCTGGGGCGGAGCTTTGGTGGGATGAGTGCTGAATATGTCCTTATTAGAAGCATTTGTATTAATTTCCTTTCCAGGTGATGTGGGCAGAAAATGATGGGAAACCCCACAAATGACTTTTGTCATCAGCACAGAATGGGAGGAAAAATCTCCTAATCGTGACACCCCTACTAAAGACAAATGTAAAAGGTGGAATTTTCTCTGAGTTTGGGGAGATTTCCTTTTCTTTTATTGTGTTATTTAAACAGGAAGTAAGAAAAAACTCCCAAAGGGACACAGAGATTTATTCATTACAGGTTATTATATAGCACCAACAGTTTACATTTTGTGCATTCATATCAGTCCCTGGCCTCAAGGAGCAGATGGTGCCCTAATGTGACATTCAAAGCAAGAATCCAAGTGCTACAAGGCAGACGTGTTAACCACTAAGCACAGAAGTTTTACAGAAGTAAAAATATCAGAGAGATTTCATCTCTTTCCCATTTTATTTAAAATGTTTAGCTAGAGCTCCACTTTGAGCTCAGCATATGTGAATGTCATTAAGAGCATGTCCAGTACTGGTCATACTACCTATAAAACTGACAACCGCTAATTACCCACTCTTTAGATTACCAAGTCTTTTTTCTTCTAGAATTATTACCCAATGGTTCGTACAGCTTATATAGAAGATGAAAGCACGCGACTAGTCATCATGGCTGAGCGGTCACATGGAGTCTCCAGTCTAGACAATGGCCAAGTAGAGGTATCATTACCTTTCTTAAATATGTTGAAGAAGTTCACATTCAGAGATGATATTTTGTGCTGAGAATTGAGCCAAATTTTCTTTTAATTTTGGCATGAACATCATTTCCTTCTCTAGATCATGCTGCATAGGAGACTGTGGAATAACATGCAATGGGACCTGAATTATAATCTGACATTGAATGACACTTCTGTAGTAAGACCAACTCTCTGGCTCATGATGGGTTCCAAAGCAGTAACCAGTTCTTTGTACCAGAGATTGGGGCTGGCTCTAGAACATAGACCACTAGTCATGTTTATTCCATTCAAAGGTAAATTCTTATTGTCATTTGGTAATTGTAATTGGTAATGTGATAAGTTGTAAAGATCTGATTGCTGTATAACTGCATTTCAGTGTATTAGCCAACGCAGGGAGAGCCACACCACTAACGCTGAGAGAAAGATACAGTAAAGCACTGTCACTGTAAAGCAGGAAGCATATAATGAGCAAATGTGGTTGTGTGTCACAATGTGCATAGGTTTCAGTTACTGATGCCAACCATGATTCCACTGACCATGGTTTATTCTTTCCACTGGCTGGTCCCTAAATACAGCCATGGTCATGTTTATGTCATAGGAGTGGCTGCAAAACACCTCCAGCACTGGCTTATCAGGGAGAGATCATTGTGATTGGTTCAGCAGGAACAACTGCTATTTAATGGGTTCTGTCACTTGACAATTATGTAGTTTGCAGTCGATGAAGGTTAGGATGGACATTAGAGCTACTAAGCTACACTGTGTGTTCTTTGTCCCAACTGGGGCTAAAAGTCAGGGAAAATCCTAAATTTTGAGTTGTCACCAGAATAAAAATAGAGGGAAAATCTTTTAATGGTCTAAGATTTCCCTCACTTTGGAGAAAAATAAATAAAAATCCTCCTAGAGGGGCATATGGCAAAGAAAAGAACTGGCTGGAGTTTTATTATCAACTATTCTGTTCAAAATGTAAAAAAAATGCAACATTCATGAAAATCTCTGATAGATGGGAAAGGAGTGGGGCGAGTCACTGCTCTCGCTCATTCACTTGGGTGTAAATCTCAGCTTGAGCAACTAAGCTGTATATACACCCGGATTTTGAGAACCAAGGAGCAAGGGAAGCAGTTCAAAATGTGAAAATAAACTTAGTCATAACTTCAGAATTTGGTGGGTTGGAGAAGGGAAGGTGGGCACTCTCTGGCTTATGGTCTTCTTTCTCTATAAACGTTTCTGAACTTTCAAGTGCACTCTTCCATGCCTACTGTTAGACTGGTGGGTAAGATATGAGGGTTTTACTTTAATTTTACTGGACATAGCTGGCTTTACTAAATATACCTCTCTCTGGGAAAATGAACTTCAAGCTTAATGTATATTTCAATTGGAAACAAGCTGGGGTCACAAATGTCTTACAACTGCATGAATGCGACACCCTACATTCCTTTTAGCATTTACAGTCTGTGCATTCCTTTCATAAAACTCATTTGATCACGCATGATGTGATTTATATACCTACTAATTATATTGATATACTGTTTAATGCTACCATCACTAAGAGGGTGTTTATTAATTTATATAATTATTTGCTGTCCAGCATTTTACAGAAATTTCTTCAAAGCATATTGACTGTTGTTCCTCACCATGGTGGGAAGAGGTGACAGCAGTACAAGGATACTGTCCTCTAGTAAACTCTTTTGCAGTATATAGGGATTGTACTTCAGGGAGGAGAGCCAGAGAGTTGCGCTGACAGGAGAGCCCTGGCTGTCATGGTAGGTCAGAAATGGGGATGATATCTCCGCAAGGATGTTATCCTGCCCTACTGCAGTCAAAAAGAAAAAAGTTTGTTTAACACTGTGAAAACATATCCTTACAACACTCGTGTTGAATGCATCTACATTCCCTTGGAGTTCCACCAATATAGAAAATGATTTTTAGTCATACTTTGGTGTGCTAATAGTATATTGTATCTACAGTAATATTAATTATTGTCATTCAGGAAAATCTGCAACTGAAGAAATGTCTGCTGCTCCCATTGTGTTACCACCCAACATTTACCTTCAGATCCTCAGTGTTCCTGGCTGGAGGTATTCTTCAAACCACACAGAGCATATACACAACCTGAACAAAGGTATGTCTTCAGCTCAGCTTCGGTCCAACCGAAAGTGAATGCCTATATGATAAGCATGTTGCCAGCCCCTGACAAATGAGAGTTCTTTTACTAGTCACCAAGACCATTCCCATTAGACAGGGGCATGGCTGGTGGGCAGGGCTAGGAACCCATATAAAAAACTTAGCAAAGAAAAAAAGCATTGTTTGATGGAGCATTGAAGAGGCTTTCCTGGAAAAGGAAGGTGATAGCAGACAGCCGGCAATGCAGCATAGTATGATTTTTATGCTTAGTTTCAAATAGAGTAGATTACAATATAATATTGCAAAAGCCTAGTACACCACGTAAACCAACAGTATACTGTACATGCTATGCCATTTTAGCACAATCTAAGATGTCAATGGTGGCTGAAATGCTGGCAGCTTACATCATCACTGGCATAAATATGGGGTACGCTGCTCCCAAGCCTTGAATTGGGTCACCCTCATAGAAGATTGGGTGCTTAAACACCAGCAGGGGCTCGTCCTATGATCCACAGACTGCACAAATCTAAAGAATTTTGTGCACGCAAGCACAAAATAATACCCAGATTTTTCATAGAAAATTAAAGATAAAGATCCATCTATTAAAAAAATACCAAATAAGTTTTCAAATTTAGTTTGCCTGCAAAACGGCACAAAATGATGGTGCCAACATTGTCCATTGGTGACACTTTAAAAGCCATTACAGGTCATCATTATAGTGTTAATTATAAATGATTGCTCTCACTCTGGCTTGTGCTATGATATTTAAAATATGTGGCAAGATTGTTGTTTTCTCGTATGCGTGCACACACGATGCATGCTTTTGTTTTCATATGTGCAAGGGAGTGGGGGACAAAGATATATTTTTTATTTTTACTTTAAACTTTAGTTTTTGAAAATATTTTTTTAACCTCATTGCTATCAAAGGGGATAATTAGCCCCCTATGTGATGCCATAGTGCAGGTGACAAGTTCTCTTTAAGGAGACATCAGGGGTCCACCGGACATTAACAGCTCTGAAACTTCAGACGGAAGTGCTCACAGCTGAGCACTTCCAGATTTATACTGCATGATCTCTGTCCTGACACCCACCATGGATGCCCCAGGTGACCAGGAGGGACAGGGGAGCCCAGAGCACCTGCGTTAGGGGTGGGTCAGGCAGAGGGGGGGGGGGAGCTTCTTCCGCAGCATGTAGAAGTGATTGGCTTTAAAACCACCAAAATGACATAAAAACAGCTAAGAGATTATTTGCATGCTGGAGCTGCCATGTATGTAGTACTTATGTTCATGGCAGTAAAATGGTTAAAGCAACAGACACATGTTTATTCTATCACACGTCATCAGTTGTTATAATGCTGTCTCTCTTACTCAGGGCTATGCATTATCCTTTCTAAGTAAAAACCAAGAACAGGTAAGACCAAAAAACCTGCTAAAATAATTTATTACAGGCAGTTTACAATAAAAACACAGGTAAAACATGTTTCATCTCATTGTCTTTTGAAAGATCTTTCTTATTGTAATTAAACCACAATACATTTAGACTGTAATCATTTTTTTTATTGCAGTCATTTTGGTTGTACCTTTTCTTGGTTTTCACTTGCTCATCTTCTGCCGCTCACCATCCTGACACCCACCATGAAGTTCCTGGGCAACCTGAAGAGCCAAGTGATCCCGAGACACATGGTTGGGGATAGGAGGGAGTGTCAGGCAGTGGCTGGCTTCTTCCACAGCATGTGGAAGTAATCAGGTGGCCTTACAGTCATCTAAATCACTTTTACCAAAAAGCCAGGAGTAAAAAAGTAAGCAATCGCCCAGCTACTATAGCAGCAAAGAGAATGTTTACAGACCTGTGCTGCAATAAACATAGTATGCATGTCTGTGGCAGCAAAATGGTTAAAACAGACACATGCGTATTTTACTCCAGCTAATCTCTAGCTAAAAACATTTTTCTTTGTTTTGCATATAGTGGAGATGTATTTGAACCTCCATCAAGTTTTTATTGCTACCTTTGTGTATGTTTGGAAGATAATTCTCTTCCACTTCAGGTGACTGGTGCCATTAAAAATGAAGGAAAATCATGAAGGTTGCAATAAATCACTTTCTTTTAGCACAGTGGTTAATGGTTAGTACTGCCATCAGGCATTTATTCCTGCCTCTGGCCTTATTGGAGAGATGTTTCCTTTCTCCCTTTGTGGTCACCAGGACAGCAAGTGATAAAAAGTGAAGCACAGATGTCTCACTCACACATTTGTTTTTATAAATACTCATAGGTGATGGACAGAAAACTGCTGCAGACTTCCATCGAGTACTTCTCAGGATCCAGCACCTCTATGAGGTTGATGAAGACCCAGTTCTGTCCAAACCAGCTAGTGTTAACCTCAAGGTGGGTTCCACTTCCTCACTGCTACAGGCTGCTTCCTGTGGTACATAAACAGAAGGTGCACGATAGCGTCTATATGTATGAGTGTGATGACTGTATGAAGAGGACTTAGCTGTGTACTATGTGTAAGATCCTATTATGAAGATAAATCTGGAGTGTTTAAAGAGAATCTGTCACAGGAGAGAAATATGGCAGTGTAGCACTGACCTTTAGGGAGCTGCTGGATCTTTCAGGTCCTTTTGCCTTTCTACTTATGACCTATAGCTGCACCCAGACATTCAATGATCCATGAACAACAATAGAAAGGCAGACTTCCACTCTGTCAATCTTCGTTTTGCCTTTTTATTGTCCCATTTGGCCAGGGAATCAAGAGATGGGTTCCAGGATACGCAATATCACCAGCGAAACTAAATTTCAGTCAGTAGTATCTTAAACGTGTGCTACAGGCTAATTTAAGCTAGGTAGGACAAATGGACAGATATCTTTTAAAGTGACACTAAACTCAGGAGTTAAATCTTAAAAATGCATTCAAGTATCTTAAATGGTTTCTAAGCCCTCCGTTTTTTTGCATATATCTACTGCTAGCAAGCAGTAGATATATGCAAAAAGTAAAAAAAAAAAAACCTGCTTTAAAAGAGGTTAATACTTACCTGTGTCTTCCCACGCACCCCCGTCCGAAAATCTGAAAATTCTTGGGCAGCCGCAAAGCATCTTGGGGCGGGCGCATGTACAGTTCGGATTTTCGGCCAGGAGACGAGGAGAGACACAAAGTAAGTATATGGACGCGTGCACCCGCATGCAGACACCATGGGACAGGAAGTACCAGCAAGGACAGAGGAGTCAGCGCTGGATCGGAGACCGCTGCAGCGCTGGAGAGAAGGCTGAAAACTACAGGAAAGAAGATCGGATTAATAGACGACATTTAAGGTAAGTGCTTTAATTAACATTGGGGGGAGGGAAAAAACTGTTTTGCCTTTTAATGTCACTAACTATTAACAAAAATGTATCTTATTTGTCCACCACTCAGCTGTAGATCCTCAAATCATCTCTGAATTGGTGCTGACACTGTCCTTCCTTCTGGAGGGTGGCTACTTTTGTTCCCCTTGGTCCCTGTGTGTGTTGTAATGTAGCCACCGCTGTCAAGCTCATTCCTGTGATGGAGACTACAATTTTACATTTAGTTTCTGAATTTGTATTGAGATTGTAGTCACAGGAGAGAGTTTGGAGCGGTGGTAACTTTACAACACACACAGGGACCATGAGGAACAAAAGTAGCCACCCTCCAGAATGAAGTACAGTGTCCGCACCAATTCAGAGATGATTTGAGGATCTACAGCCGAGTGATACACAAATAAGATACATTTTTGTTAATAGGGTACTTTAATGCATTCTTAAGATTTTAACTCTTGAGTGTAGTATCACTTTAATCATATTCAGCTCCTCTCACCGGATATTGTGGACCTTTTAAGTCAAGACTGGCAATTTGTCCAAGCAGAACTCTTCTTCGGCTTCCTTTGCCAGGCAGTAGGCCTGTGAAGCAAATACCTCTTTCTGCAGATATAGCTGCAGGTAGCTGGCTTGAGAGGCCAAAACCACTGCATCACACCCTCCCCAGGCAGCATGCCTTGGGGAAAAAAATAGGACCTCTGGACTTGCATCCAGGCAAAACCTCCAGGCAAGCAGGTGTGTATATCAGGTATTCTTGCACCTGTTATGCTCATGCTTGTTTCAGGTCAGTGACATGCTAAGTAAGTAGTGATACAAGGAAAACAGAAACTATCAAGAAATATGGAAGCTGATAATTCTGAGTAAGCGGAATTGTTCACTAAGTGCAGCAGATGATTTAACATGTCTTTACAAGGTCTGTAAATGTCTGGGTAAATGTTACTTTGCAATTAAGGCTTGAGTTCAGCTATGAGAGTATATGTCTTTAATAAGAATGCCTAATAAACTGTTTCTATTGCATTCTTGCTCCTCTGATAGAGAAATGAGGTGTGTAGGTGGCAAAGGGAGGTCGGAGGAATAAAGAAGTAGGTGGAATTTATGAATTTGGCCTCACCTAGAAGAGTCTGCACAGTGCACCTCTGTATGTAGCTACAGGTACCCAAAGGTACAAATTAATACACCACGCAAATGTTTTAGTTGCACCATGTCCACGTGATCCCAATTGAAGAATGGACATTTTTTTTTAGTTGTGGATAGAGTTAGAACTTCTGTCAGATTTTTGTTGTTGTCCTCATAGGGGAGATTTAGCTTCTTTATTTGTCATGGTGACCATTTTCACAGGGGCGGAAACTGAAATCCCTGTTTGTCACAATAACAGAGGTTGGCCAGGGAGCTTCTTCCAGGGTTCTGGTGGTGTCTTTAGCCACTTTATAAGAACTAATAGTTGTTCACAAAAATGATGGTGATAATGTCCCTTTATGTCCTCTTCATTGGTAGGCACTGCAACAATGCTTTTGTGGGATCTGTCAAGTTGCATGATTCCGAAACTAAATTAACTTTACCCAGTGTAAACACTTGGTTTTTCTCACAAGAATCTTCTTAGTCATCTGAATAGTCTGGTGTGCCTACTGTAGGCACTCCTTAAGCTAACTTTGGTATCACTGCAAGAAACTGACTCATTGTGAACGTATCCTGATTATATAAGGAACTTTGTGAAAGTTTCGTATTTGTCTACCACGTCCAGTATGCCACTTTCTATTTATGTGTAAACTATATACTATACAGTTGTAATCAAAATTATTTAGCCCTCCATCTTAAATCAGGTTTTATGGCAAAATGTACAAACTTTCAGTTGTTTGCAAGATGCAGTTGTAGCATCTGAAATATGTCAACAACGAATGTTTCAAGTGGTTTCCCCAAATTAATCTGAAAATGCAACTTTTAATGACTTCTCCAGTCTCCAGCCTATGATGCTCTTAATCCAGCCCTGCCTGCCAGGCAGCCGCAGTGTAGCAAAGCAGAAGTGGAGTGATCTCTTCGGCTTTGATGTCACAGCCAGCAGGAACAGAGCTGAAGAGAAGGAGATGGTCGGTTGGGGGTAGGTTGGGGGGGTTTGGGGGACCTCATACAAAATTTTGCTATGGGGCCCTGTGATTTCTAGTCCCTGGCAGAATGTTTCCATGCCAGAACTACAAGACATACACCACTACTGACCCAAAAGCACAAGAAATCATATAAATAAGCCACAAACGTTTTGGGATTCTGTTCTGTGGAGCAATAAAACAAAACTGGAACTTTACGGCCCTATGGATTAGTGGTATGTCTGGAGATAGAAGAATGAAGCATCCAGTTAAGGATGGTGGTGGCTCGGTAATGCTCTGGGGTTGCTTTTCATCCTCCGGCACTGGAAACCAGCAGCGTGTGGAAGGCAAGATAGATTCATTGAAATATCAGGAAATCAGTTGTCATGCCATCAGTGAGGAAGCTGAAGTTTAGATGTCATTGGGCCTTGCAACGGGACAATGATCCCAAGCATACCTCAAATTCCAACAAGCTTGGTTGCAGAAGAAGTCCTGGAAGATTCTACAGTGGCCATCATAGTCATCTGACTTGAACCCCATAGAATATCTCTGCTGGAATTTGAAGAAGGCGGTTGCAGCCTGCAAACCCAAGAACATTAGTGAACTGGAGACCATTGTTCATGAGGAATGGGCTACGATTCCTCAGGAACACTGTCAGAAGCTGGCATTTGGCTATGCATGCTTGTTTGCAGCAGGGCATAAAAGCAAAAAGTATGAAGTATGCTTGCCATGAATGAGTTGAATAATGTTGAGACTGCAGAAGTCACAAAAAGTTGCATTTTCAGTTGAATTTGGGGAAACCACTTGAAACATTAATTGTGTTGACCTATTCCAATTGCTTTTATCTGATTTTGTTCATTGCAAACCACTGAAAGTTTGTAAATTTTGACAATAAACCTGATTTGCAATGGGGGTTGAATAATTTTGAGTACAGCTGTAGGTATATCTGGTGCTTTCTTGGTGCATTTTGCAACTTTTTCTGTACCTGGGCCCTGAAAATAGCAATCCATGCCATTATTCATTGGGCTTTGAGCACTATACAAGTTATGAGAAGACGTCTTGACAACTAATGGGAACCAAGGTTGCTTTGTAGATGATCAGGTATTGAAATAGATTGTTCCTTTTTCATATGACCGTTTTATTGGTGTAATGTTCTTATTCTCTATACCCAGAATTAGCTCAAAGTAAACCTGTGGGAAACCAGGGCAATTCAAACTGGGCATGTGAAGGAAAAATATGTAATTCAAGGTCACCTTCAGTAAAACGTAAATAATCAAGTTGATTAGGAGGTACAGGCAGCTGACATTCTGTGTAACATTTGAGTTTGACCCAACCATCCCACCTTCTGAGCCTCTCTGTATGTCCTTTAAAGGCTAACTATGTTCAAAAACGCAAAATAAATACATATTTTTATATTGAATTTCCATAAATTCTATCCCATGCTAATAACCGTATCCATCTAGCAGTTTGTAAACTTATAGAAGACGCCCATAGAATGTACTTCCTCTGACACAGTGCTCTGACACAATTTCACTCAGCCCTGTGAATACGCACTTCCTTGTGTCACAATTCACAGAGCCTGCCTTCTGAATTACAGCTCTGTATGAACAATGTAACATCATCGTTGCTTGCTCTAAGCAATGCATGATGGGATATGTAGTTTTGAGAAATGGAGATTGCATCATATCAAGCAACAGGGAAAGAGACCCAAAGCACACTGGGAATCCAGGAAGTTGTTGAAAGTGATGGGCAGACAGGAGGCAGCACTCACTACATAAAAGGTTTTTTTTTTTGTCAAGCTTTGATTGCATTAACAAAAACAACTCTACTATGTATTCCTATTACAATGCTGATGTTATAACAGGGTAGGGTATGCTGGGACTTTAGAACGAGAATGTGCGTATTAAAAAACGTGTTGTGTTTTAGTCGCTTCTAAAAGGATTGGGTGATGTGAAGTTTGTGGAAGAGCGCTCGCTTACTGGAACATGGGATGTGAGCAGCATGGAGAAATGGCAATGGAAAACCACACAGTGCAAGGGGAGAACAAAAGGTGAGTTAAAGAGTACTTATGCCAAATATTCATACGTTACGTGTGGCTTTTATCTATTGCCTTTTACATAGGTTTTATATTTGAAAGTGTTCAGGGAAAAAAAAGGAACTTCAGTAGGTCCCATTGCACTCTTGCCCTTATATAACCGAAAATATTGGGTGGGTGCTGAACTGACGGCAGATGCCTCTGCGAATCAGTAAATACTTAGGAGAAAGTCACTCGCACTCCAACGTGGTTTTCTGTGAATGCTTTTTATTGACAAAAGATGTGTCACATTGTATATCCATACATATACCTATACAATGTGACACATCTTTTGTCAATAAAAAGCATTCACAGAAAACCACGTTGGAGTGCGAGTGAAAAAAAGAATGCATGTGATTTTGTTGGCACAAGTAAAGTAAAGAATCCTTCACTGACACATCTTCAGTTCCATTTTTGAGTGTAAGCTTTTTACTATAATAAGGAAAAATGACTGAAAATTTTGAAAACAATTTTTTTTTTACATTATGTTATAATACATTTATTATTAACGGTACCCAATTTCTTGGTAAACTATAAAACACGGGGTCATGTCAGGTAAACAGACACCAAACATGTCAAGGCTTAAAATTGCGCACACCCGCGAAATCGCAGAAAATTACCATACCCAAAATTGACCTAGGCGACGCTTTAAATGCTTTTACCGCTCATCAGTTTAGTGTTATCAGTGAGCAATGGCCCTAGAATTATTGCTCTCACTGATTGCCCCGGAAGCTGGCTCCATGCTGTTTGGCTGGCTCCATGCTGATTGGCTGGGAAGCTGGCTTCCCGACCAAGCAGGATGGAACAGTCTTCCCGGCCAATCTTCCCGGCCAATCAGTAAGTAACGGCTTCGTTATTGGCCGGGAAGCCGGCTCCATGTTCCCTCGTGGCACTGCCAGTCCGAGGCATTCTCCCTCAGACTGGAAGTTCCAGGAACAGAGTTAAGTAGCGGAGCATTTGGCCGAGTATAAATGCTCGCCCAAATACTTGGTATCGGCACTGATACCAATACTAGTATCGGTATCAATGCATCCCTAGTTAAAACCATTGTTGGGTTTTTTGACCCTCTATGTCTAGTTTGTGAGATTTTCCTTCACTTCCTGTCCCATAGACTCAAAGTAAGAAAATATGTTTTCAATGTGAGCAAAATCCTTCTTAGACAATTATCACGGGAACGTGTCTCCATGGGAACATTTCTGAAAGCAGCTCATAATTTTGCATGTACCCTCATTTTCATTCCTGGTGACATTGGTGATCAGGATAATAAAAAGAAAGTCTTACTTAAGGTGGCCATACACTTTACAACCATCGCAAGACTTTAGTCTTGCGATGGTTGTAAAGTAATTTAAAAAACGTACGATCTGCCCATCTTGGACAGGCAGATCGTACTCTCGATCATCGCAAGCCCGCCCCCCTGAGGGGCGGGCTTCCGATGACCGCAATGCTGAACGGGCAGTCTGCGCGTGCGCACACCGGCCCGTTCGGCATTTGTCTCCCGAGCACTGTTCAAACCAGCCAAAAATTGTACGATTTTCGGCTGGTTTTCTAGCGTGCTCCTTAGACAAAAGACGTGCGACCGTACAGTAGAAGCGGTCGCACGTCTTCGTTCACACTGCTCGATTCTTGTACAATCGTGAGATTTCCCGCGATTCTCGTACGAGAATCGAGCAGTGTATGGGCAGCTTAAAAGTGATTTAAAAAACGTACGATCTGCCCATCTTGGACAGGCAGATCGTACTCTCGATCATCGCAAGCCCGCCCCTCTGAGGGGCGGGCTTCCGATGACCGCAATGCTGAACGGGCAGTGTGCGCGTGCGCACACCGGCCTGTTCGGCATTTGTCTCCCGAGCACCGTTCTAGCGTGCTCCTTAGACAAAAGACGTGCGACCGTACAGTAGAAACGGTCGCACGTCTTCCATACACTTTGCGATTATCGTACAATCGCAGGATTTCCAGCAATTATCGTGCGATAATCGCACAGTGTATGGGCACCTTTACAGAGACACAGCCAGCAACAAAAACCTTGCTTCTAACACCTCACCACTCTATCCAATTTTATAAAATGTTTCTTTATAATTCAAGGTGCTGAGAGCCGGGTAGTTTTCAATGTGGAGCTCCTGATATGGAGCAAACCTTGAAGCTCCACTAAGTTCCCAATTCAAAAATGCTCATATTCTATTTGAACACTCTGGTGCTTGTATCTACAAAGTATAACAAAGAAAAACGACTTCTGTGTGTTGTCTGACAGGCACTGTAGGGTTTTATTTATGTTTTTGGCACATGCTGATATGGTTCTCATTTATTAAAAATGGATAAATAAAAAAGAAAGGAATGGCAGGAACAGTATGTAGAAGAAAATCTGGATATAGAGTGCGTGTGCAAAAAATGTGTTATTATTGTTCCTAAGAATGATCTTCTTGAGCTGGACAAAAGGAAAAGTTGTTAGTTGCTGTATTTAGCTTAAACATAAATGTGACGGCAACACTTGTACCTCGACTGGATACGCGGTCAGAGCCAGATCCCTGTGTGCTGGAACTAAGAGCAGAAGTATGACCCTAAGCATCAGACAGAAACAATGTTAGGGTCAGAGGCATAACTAGAACCCTCAGGGCCCCGGTGCAAGAAAACCATAAAGATAGGGTAAAACAGGAACTAACACCATTTCTGCCCACACACCACACATTCTCAGCCACATTCATTCACCCAGTCACAAGAACACAGTGTAGGGGAACAAACCTGTTTGGGCAGAGATGCTGTTGGTTCCTGTTTTTCCCTAACATTGGTTTTGTCTGATGTTTATGGTAATACTTCTGTGCTTAGTTCCAGCACACAGGGAGCTGGCTCTGAGGGCATATCCAGTTGGGGTACAGGCGTTGCCGTCACATTTGTTGGCGGTGGGATTATCAAAAGGGCTAACATTAAAGGGATTATCAAAAGGGGTAACGGTAAAGGGTTTAACAAAAAGATTAAATAAGAAAATAAAGGAAAAAGGGATTCAAGGTGATCATGTCAGCAGGCTCATCAGGGAGGAAGATGTAGTTATCTCTGCAGGGAGCTTATTGTGTGGGAGAAGCAGTTCAGGCTTAGTGGTGTCAGCAGAACATCACACAAAATGTCTGCCTGAGAAATCCATATATTTTGGTAATAAGTTCCACAGTAAATAAGTCAGTATGGGAATTTCACAGAGGATTTCAGATAGGTCCGAGAGAAGATACAGCACTAGCCCAAATCGCAAATTAGAACCTTAATCCAGGCCAGGGTCCATAGTCAGTGGGGAGGAGGTTGGTCTTCAGTCTCCTCCCAAGGCTTCCCTGACAATAAAAATATATTATAATATACTGCTCATCTAATTCCATCAGCCTTATATATACAGCTATTACATTACTTCTGCTTGCAGCTGCATTTAGATAGATAGGTTGTAGCTACCTTCCTACCAAAACATATTAAAAAAGGAACTGACGTGCCTTAATTTTTTATTTGACATGCAGGGGTTTTGTAATTGTATTTAAAGCATAGTCTTTTTTTTTTCTGAAATGACTTAGCAGACATCTGGTGATGCTAGAGGCAGTAGGTTGGAGTCGAACAGAACATTCTGAAACCTTAACAATAGAACAAAGTCATTTTTATTTAATACAAGCAAACTTTGCAACGTTAAAACAAAATTTTTGCTGTGTGGGGGTGAGCTCTTACCATAATGTGCAAGTATAGATTGCACACTCACTCCTATTGGGTTCCATGGTGCTCCTTTTCAGCCATTGCATGGCCACTAATGATGGCACAGGACTTACATTGTCACTAGCACATGGCGCTATTCTCTGCATGCCAAGGGATACATTTTTGGGGGCTTTGCGTGTCTCTTTTGCCAAAAATCTCTACCTTCTAACAATGTTTCTATGTGGGGGGTTTCTTTTTAAAGGGAAAGTCCACAAAAGCTAAAATTCTAGTACTGGATGGTCAGCTTTGAGCCTGAAAACCTGCCAGCTTCATATGTCCCCTGGTGTGTTCGCAAATTAATTCTTGACTACCTTACGTCTAATCCCACTGCAGAGGTCTCATGTCCACCTTGCTGAGCAGCAGACATTTATAACAGCACATTCTATAACCCGAAGGCCCTTATGGCGCATGCTGTGATAGTAATCTGCCAGATGTTTGAATCTAACGGTCTCTATGTTATTGGGTTCATCGTCCCAAAATTATTGTTACCTTGATTGGTTCAGGTGACATTCTCATTGCTATGAGCATCTGCCGGCAAACTTCCTGGCCAAGAAATCGGAGGGGAATGGACAGGATGAAAAACCTTGCCCATTACATTTGTTTACCCTGAAATGGGTTGTCACTAAAGATCTGTGTATCTTTTTTTCTTCCCTTTTCCATAAGCATAAACATGAATTCTCAGGCAACCCTACAATTTGTTCTGATTCCAGCAGCTGGATATCTTTAGGTGGTCGAATGATGCTTGCCATTCCATCATCACTGATATCCAAAGCCCCCTTCTTCCTATGGCCAGACAATCTATTCTTCTAGTTTAGATAATGCATTGTATTCCTTTTTTGTCTCTCAGACCCATAAACATACAGAAAAGGGATTTCCCTCCACAATAGTTAGTTTTAAATATCACTGAAGGTTTTAGGCAAAGATATCCCACAAATGCCATGGTAAAATACAAATCCAGTAGCCAGTGGCATAGCCCATGTGGCTGCTATGGGGCCTGGGGTGGGAGGGGGCCCCATTAGGGGCTGATTAGGAAACTGTGAGGTTTCCAGTATAGAAGGGCTGAAGTCAGATTGTCTAGTCACAGATCCCTCTATGTGGAGTAAAAAGCATTTACTTATCTATCCTAAGGCCTGGTTCACACCCTGGCGTTTTACAGCGCGTTCCTACGCTCTGTAAAACGCTCAACATGTGAAAAACAATGATTGCCTATGGGCACGGTTCCCACCTGGGCGTTTTACAGCGTGTAAGAACGCGCTGCAAAACGCCCTATGCCCAAAGAAGTACAGGAGCTTCTTTGGGGCGTATTTGCTGCGCGTATCCATTGGGATACAGCCAGGTAGCCCTCAGAAACGCGCATTTGTCACGCGTTTTTTACCGCAAATCCCGGTAAAAACGCGTGACACGAAACACGCGGCAAACGCGCAGATTCCGTATGCCTAGGTGTGAACCCAGCCTTAGGGTTGAAGAGTAACTGTGAGCAACAGCATTATTCATTATATCATAGCACTGCTGCCTATTAGTGTGTCCTTAATACATACTTCATATTAACATCAATAACACATATTGTCACAGTTGACACTGCCAGCCACTATAGAAAGAGTTAGTCGGGGGGGCCCAAAGTTTTGGTGTGGGACCCTATGATTTGTCATTAGGCCCTTGCCAGTAGTAATTCATTTACTGGTGTATGTTTCACGATTACTTCTTATGTCCAGCGTTTTGGTCTGTTTAACTAATAACCACTTGTGACAGGAAATGCTTTCTATCTTGCAGATCAAATGCAACCTGCAAAGATTATCAAAGATTTTGTTCTTACTGTAGAACCAAAGGAAATAAGAACAATTTTTGTGTATTTTCAGTAACCCCTACCAAAGGAAGAAGCTAAAAGGTTACATGACAGAGCTACTGGTAACTGATAAAACTGTATAACAAACTGAGCCATTCTTGTATATCAGCTGGGATACTTTTAAGTGCAGCCCATAGCTCAATGTTAATACTATGTTAGCCCAAAAGGGCAATAAAAGGACGTTTGGAAGTGGAACACAGAAGACTACTGTTAGCTTGAAAAATCTCTCACCACAACCCATTGCCCTTATTGTAAGTATGTCCTGTTCTGTATAATGCCTTTTAGGTTTTTAAACATCCACCCTTTTGTGCTCATAAAGCTGAAGTCCAGTTATGTATAAAAGGCACAAATAAATGCAATTCTTCATTAATTATTAAATCATTAAAGGCTACGTTTACCTTTCTGACCATGTTTCATGTTACACCCATATTTAAGGTGCAACATGAAACATGGTCTGATCAATATCCATTGGCACTTCCTCCTGTTCATGTTACCTCCTGTCCATGTTACTGTATGTCTGTACCTCAGTACGGACATTGCTAGGAGGGATAGTCTGCAGGAGCCAGAGCAATGCAATGCTTTACAGACTCCCATGCCAAAAAATAATAAATGTACTTTCTTTTATGGAGAAGTGTGCATTTATTATTGTTTTTGCAAAAAGCTTGAAGTTCTCTTTAAAAGTATTTTTCTTAAAATGAAAGCAGTGCAATTATCAGATTTTGACTTGGCATCAACCTCTTGCAGTCCCATTATAGCAGAAATGGAGAGGGTAAGGCAGCATAAGCCGCCAGTCAGTTGTGTTGTAGTGCTCATATTCTAACAAGCAGCATGCTGATAGGAGAAGAGAGCAGACTGAGAGATGAGCACTTCAGTCTGCTGCTATTTCTTCACTGTCCAGTCAATGGCTAGGTGATGGACAAGGCTTAGTTGTATTACTTAACTTAACCTAAGAAATCAGGTCTTCTGTCCTTGCAGATAGGGCTGCGCTGTGTGGTGAGCTGTGTAAATATCAGGAATACATGAACAGAAACATAAAAATATACCACACCTCCGATATATAAATATCATCTGTGCATATAGCTGTTTGGCTACAGTCTGCCTATATAGGCAATATATAAATATGCAGTAAAAATAAATATGTGTGTGTGTATGTATGTATGTATGTATGTATGTATGTGTGTTTTATATATAGTTATGCTTAAATGGTAACTTAAATACTTTGTAAACACTGAGCTGGAACAAGCATGCAGTTCAAAAAATTTAGAGCAGTCAGCAGTCAGAGCTCTGAATCTGCATACTTTTTCTTGGTTGGTGATGGTATGGCAAGAGCGTCAACATGACTGTCAGTCAACTAGCATTTTCGGGAGGAAAAAAGGCAAGCAATGGCAGCCTCCGATTGTCTCTAATGAGATGTTTTCTTTAATGAGAGGGCATAAAGCAGTACAGTTTTTCATAATAAAGGTAATTCTGTATACCTCCAGTTCCTGGCCATGTAATCTCTAATTCAGCATTGGTTGCATGGTCCTTGTTGGATGATCCTTGAGGTGGGGTGGACAGTCAGTGTGTGCTGGTTAGTTGGCATCTTCTGCCTAAACAGTCTTTTAATATCAATCCCCCAAGATCTACATTGGCATTGGTCATGAGATTGAGCAACAGGAAGCAAACTACCCTTTTTATGAAAAATGGTTCTGCCTTAGTACTTTTTATGATCCAATGCTGTATAATTAATGTTAAAATACAGATGTGTTTAAATGTCACTATAGGTCCACTTAGGACTATTTCACACGACCATTAATGGCCATACACTGCCCAGATCAGCATATTTAAGCAGCGGCCAGGAGTTTCCAGTGCTGAGGCCACTCGACCTGTACAGATCAATGACAGGCTGAGAGGCTCTGCAGCTGTCCTCATGTAATTGTGCATGAAGCGAATACCTGTGGTTAGGGACAGATGAGCGGCCCTGGCCGCAAACAGTCTGTGTACAGCACTGCTCATCTCTCTCTAGCCATGTGTAATCACTTCTTTGAGCAATTACATTCAAACAGCCATACAACAGATTTGTACAGACTTTCTGTCCACAGTTAATCGGAAACACCTGGCCGGAGCAGAAATACGCTGATCTTTACGCTGTATGGCCATGTGAATTAGGCCTAAGGGCTAGTTCACACCAGCCTCAGTGCGTTCCGGCCCGATCGTTTGGTTTGGGGTGGGAGGGGGCATGTCAGTGCATTGAACTCAATGGCAGCGTAGCCAAGCACTCCGGGCGTAATGCGATCGCCCGCACCCATACTCGTGGCACATCAGTGCCTGCTTTCCGGTCCGGTGCCGTCCAAAAAAACTGTGCTTGCAGCATTTTGTCTGACTGCACCGGACCGGCATGCAGTCACTGATGAGCCACGCGTTCTGTGGCGGGTGATTGCATTGTGGCCAGAGGGCGTGGCTGCGGTGCCATTGAGTTCCATGCTCTGACATGCCCCCTTCCGTCCCAAAATAAAGTGAGGTAGCCGTAATGCGATCCAGTGCATTCTGGCCGGAATCGGGCCGGAACGCACCGAGGCTGGAGTGAACTAGCCCTTAAACTACACAATTTGATATGTAAATGCACATATTGTATGTTGGAAAAAATTCCAAATTGTATGAATTTGGCTTTGATGTTTAATGTGAAATACTGTGATTGGTCTGCTACGCTTTTGTACTAAGTGCACATAGAAGAATTTTACACAATTTAAAGTGCTGCATCTGTCCTGTATCAATGGAAGAAACAATACATTATTTCTGCTGGGTCTCCACTTGTTTTTAGTTATCATAACTAACTATGGCAAACTGATTTTATGGATGCTATTAAAGTAACATATTGAGAGTCCAACCATGAAGAAATGGAGCACATTGCAATATATTATGGCTAATTATTTGTGAAATTCACTTTGACTGTACAAGTTACTAGCCACAGCTATAAAATCTTCTTTCCTTATTAGTGAAATTGACAATGGTTATTGCTCCTAATTACTCAGGAGTCTTTGGAATGATCTGCTCTCGTCTGTCCAGCATTGTTCTGCACAGCTCTAAAGTAATAAAGTAATGTAGGAAGCATGTACAATTGAATATTTACATGAGCCCAAGTGGCACTGTTGTTTGCTTGGTCCACATCAAACACTTCTCACCAAACCTGACTTGGTGAGGATTGCAGCCCCAATCATCGGGGGAGGCTTATAGTGTATGTTAAGCCTTAAAAGAAAACCTTACTTATGTCCACCTGCCTAATATTGAGTAGGTCCCCCTTTTGGCACTATAACAACCATGACCCATCAAGGCATGGACTCCATTAGACCTCTGAAGTTATGCTCTCGTACCAAGCTGTCAGTAGCAGATCCTTTAAGTCCTGTAAGTTACGAGGTGGGGCCTCCATGGATCAGACTTGTTTTTCCAGCGCATCCAACATATCCTCAATTGGATTGAGATCTGGAAAATTTGGACTCCCAAGTCAACACCTTGAACTCATTGTTGCGTTCATCAAACTAATCTTGAACCATTTTTGCAGTGTGGTAGGGCACATTATCCTGCTAACAGAAATAACAAGTCTCCCAGGAAGGGAGTCTCCCAATACAAGTCCACAGTCTGGTTCAGGGCAGGATACTGGGGTATAGGAAAACACAGTCTCAGCTTCCCCATGTACCCCGCAAATAAATCGAAAATAGGTCTGTGGAGTCCTCCTGATCCATGGAGCGTAAATAAAGGGCCCCATACACAGTCCGAAGCACCATGGCAAGTCTCCCAATCAATAGAACCCCCTCCACAGCCAAGGCCCATAGTCAGTGGAAATGAGGCAGGCCTTTAGTCCCTCCAAATAACAGAGTAACGGAGGCTTCCATTAAATTTTTCCCTCCGTGCACCCCCCCCCCCCCCAAAGGTAGACTAACTAGGTCCCAGACCCCCAACTGGTCTGGAACTGAGTTAATCAGGCAACGATCGCAGCCACTTTCACTTTAATTTTCCGGAATCCCATAGTGTGATGACGTCAGTCTGCAAGCCCCTCACGTGGGTGAAAGTGTTTGCGATCGACAGCTGAAGAGCTTGTAAGCCGGTGATCATTTGATAACAGTGCTGTCCTTATGGTTTTAATGTAAGTGTGAGTTTTATCTATTAAAGGTTTATTGATGGTTTTACACTATAAAGTGGTCTCTTCTCTTGCGAGCTGTATATTGAGATTGGAGGATGTTCCAAAAAGAGCGTGGAGCCAATACATATACAGAGACATAGCATGAAGGGAGAAATGTGAGAGATCGGTGGTACAAGAAACAGAGAACATAAAGAGCCTTATTTGACCATCACTTATATGGTGATTAGCACTGTTTTTTTAAGGTGTGTGGATAATCACTTAATTGCATGGGATTGAAGACTGTGAAGTGGAGCCGCCTTTGTGGACACTGGCATTTAGACTGATCACACACTACACTGCCTCTGTCGGCTTGCCTTCTCCCCATAGTGCATCTCTTCCTCAGGTAAGTGACACATAACCCAGCCATCCACAAGATGTAAAAGAAAAAGTGATTTTTCGTTCTTTAATATTATTTTTTGATGATTTAACACTTGACACATGCTGATTTTGGTGATCAATGCTTTGTTGATGAACACTTATGATGCACTTTCTTAACAATTTCATCTCAGGAGATGTAACAAAAGTGCATGTGCGTTGATTTGTGGCACTACCTTTTATTAATTGGCATTTTATATCCATTTGTATCTTTATATTTTCATTACTAATGGTCAGGGGCGTAACTAGAAATCACAGGGCCCCATAGCAAAATTTTGTATGGGGCCCTGTGATTTCTAAAGCATCAGGGAGATGTCCTGGCTGGGCCCCGTCGTGCCTCGGGCCCCATAGCGGCCGCCTGGGTTGCTATGGTGATTGTTACGCCACTGCTAATGGTGCTATTAGCACTGTTTTGGTGTGTACTATGTGCCATACAGGATGCTCAAGACGCAAGTGTTTTTGACAAGCATAATAATCTTCTAGGTCACAATTAAGGGAAATGACTCAGTAAACATACAAAGATG